TTCGAAAGAGTCGTGGCTTCGTGGGCTGCTGGATGGCGACAAGTCCGATGCTATTCAAAGCATTACGCACCGTCCTAGGATGCAGTGTGATGCCGTGCTGCATCTCGACAATCTTCGCCGTATGAGCGGAGGTTTTGGCCTCCCTGGTAGTAATCGAACAAACTATGCCGCGGCGAATTCTCTCTGTCACTAAGCGAGGGCGACCGGCTGAGGGCATCGTAGGACGCACGGCATCGAGGCTAGACTCCTCAATCGCCTTACGTCCATAATCGTGGACCGTGCTCTTGCCCACGCCTAGCTGTTTAGCGATTCGACGAGTGCTATACCCCCTCCGCAACAGGGTAATGATTTGTGCGCGGCGCGCCTCATCTATCGGTTTCATGACGGCATAATCATCGCAGCGGTCCTAGCCTATCTCCTGACTACTCGATATTCGCGAGGGCAAGTAAGTAGAAAAAGCGAGGTTAGGAAATAGATCTAGTACGCTGCTTGGCATGAACTGTCCGGATGCACCCACACAAACGAAATCTCGTCCTCGGTGAAAAAACGACCCAGATAAAACTGAACCATGCATCCGACACATACACTACAGTACTACTTTACAGCCAATGCCGAAATTGGATTCGTAACTAAACAAAAAAGGCACCAAACCGGTACGAGAAATGTTTTAAGGCAATTATCCGGGCAATACTCTCCGCCACTGTATCTGCACTTCGGAGCCGATACCTACAGACACGACATGTCACGATCGCACCAACAACAATTCAAGGACAACAGGAGCAATTAACTCAGCAGTGTTCCGAAATACCTGGCGACAATCAGCGACCACATGCGGCTTTGCCCGAGGGTTCGATAAACAACCCGTCACCGGCTATTGGACGAGCGGAATTTGGTGAAAGGACAAACGTAAACTTGCCGCCCCCAGTTACCTCTTCGACCGGCCTACAAGCTGCCAACGTCAACATGGCGTCAGGAATTCTCAAGACGCAGAGGCCACCCACGCTCGACTCGAGCCAGCGTCACAATTTGTCCGTTAGCGGGTGGTTTTTTTACGTGAATGTTTTTTTGACTGCAGCCTCGTCAGTGACGATGCACAGAAATCAGATATGCCTTGTCGCTCCTATGTGGACTAGCTATGGATTGGTCGCAACAGATAATTTAGTCGTAGGAGCCGGATACGACGCCGCGCGTGATCGAGCGTTTCGCACGACCAATCACTGGGCAGGAAGTTATTGCGAGGCGGACGAGTACGACACGTGGCAATCATGGTGCGCGGGAATTCGTCGCCGCTTCAAACACGTCAATGCAAGCAGTCACGCGTGCGACCGCCTTCGCACGTGGCTCCAACTCGGATCGGTCCAGGACTACACCAGCGGCTTCATGAATCTATGCGACCATGTTGGCTACATTCACTCTGACAATAATTTCAACAAATTCATCAGGGGACTTCGGATTTACGCTGAGAAATATAAGTCTGAGAAATTACAGATTTGATGGAGGCGCAGAGGGTTGCAGAACGGTTGGATTCGTTCTACAGGCCAAGAGTTGTTTCCTATGACAGAAATCGCACTCGGGGACCAATCGAGCGTGTCACTGTACACGATGTTATAGCATCGAACTCAGCAGTTACAACCTTCAAAGGTCGCTGTTTCGGGTGTAACATGCCGGGACACCACAAGTCAGAATGCCCAGAGGAGCGGAAGAAGGGAATCAGGCGAAGGGGAGTTCCAGCGATCAGGGAAACGGTTAGTATCGGTAGTTAACGGGCCTACTGCTGATGGAACCTTCTCGCCCGCGACCGATGAAGTCTTCCGCAACCAGCACGTTCCCAAATACCCCCTGGAATCCTGATATCCCTCACCCCCCAAATCTCGTATACCATATGAAAACTACCCCTAAACAAACTACGAAACCAACTCATGGGAAAACCAGCATGTTTCCTCCCATTCCCGCTTTGAGTAATTCTGGAGCTCGTGTCTGACACTAGAGTCATGCTGGAACCCCCGAGGTGGAAAAAAAATGCCTCGGGTCTTGTACGACTCTTGACGGCTGCTCAACTGGAAACACATGAACGGCGCTGTAGGCACACGGCCGTCAATGCCACTAGACCCAAGGTTGAGCGTGTAAATCCCGCGGCTCCTTCGACAGTGGGTCAACCTTGGGCCAGACCCACGGTGCTGAATATACTCTCACAAGCCACAAAATGTGGCATAGACAACTGCAGGAGTCCCTCCTGTTGAAAGGAGTTAAGAAACTAGCTAGGCATGAGAATGGCGAGAGGTTTTAGCTAGAGAGGAAAGATACGAGAGGAAAAGTGAGATGGACTTGAGAAGAGAGGGGTACAAGAAGGGGGGGGGTTGTACCCTTTATAGTAGGATCCAGTCATTATAGCACACCTACCAAGCCTACTCAATTATATATATAAATAATGAATAAACACACCACCTAGGCTTGGTAGTCGCAAGCCCACCCAACACGCAACACCCCCAAGCCCTTGCACCCCCATGTCCTTCAGCAGGTGTGGCTTCTACCCCTCGTGCGAAGCGGCGACATCGGCGACGGGTGGCAGCAATGGCGTCAACGGCGGCTTCTATGACGACGACAGCGGCGGCGGCGGTGGCGGCGGCGGCTGCGACGACGGCGACGGCGACTGCAAAGCTCGCTGCACCCGGCGGCGTGGCACGGCCCGGCTACGACCGGGTATTGAGTCATTAGCTGCGGCTGGAGTAAGGGGAGACGCAGGGGGCGAGGGTGTGCTTCAGCAAGGCGCCCGTGGCTGGTGCACTGGCTAGCATGCGGGCGTCATGGCTGGCGCCTAAAACGATGTGCGGCCCGCAGCCGCCCGTGCGGTGGTGCGTCGACGCCGCCACGGCAGCACGAAGAAGCCGCCACAGTGTGGCGTCGACGCCACGGCAGCACGTCGAGACTACCACGACAGCACGACGAAGCCGCCATGGCAGCACGACATGGCTGCCATGGCGGCGAGAAAGTGACGGGAGGGGGGAGAGTATGCTGCAGAAGCGTGACGACAAGGCGCAACATGAACTTCCTGCTCTGAAACCATGTCGAATGGAGTTAAGAAACTAGCTAGGCATGAGAATGGCGAGAGGTTTTAGCTAGAGAGGAAAGTTGCGAGAGGAAAAGTGAGATGGACTAGAAGAGAGAGGGGTACAAGAAGGGGGGGTTGTACCCTCTACAGTAGGATCCAGTAATTCTAGCACACCTACCAAACCTACTCAATTATATGTACAAAATATATAATTTGACACCTCCCATCCCACACCCACCCAATCTGTGATCAACCCCCGCCAGTCACGCTAGTTTGTCGAGTGACCCGCTGGGGTTACCCTTGAGAAGATCCTCGTGGAAGGGCCACAGCTGCAGAGCCTGGGGGGCTATGGGCGCACTGACCCGCTATAAATAAGCCCTTTTAACTCAGTGGTTAGTGGCTGAATTCTGACATAGTTTTCCCGTAATCTGGTGCGGGGCGCCGTCAAATTGGCACGCAAACACACAGGGATTGGTGTTAAAATTATATAAGTTATAATTTAATATAGGCTTGGTAGGTTGTTACTGAACCTTTCTGTAGAGGGTACAATCCCCTCCTTGTACTGCTCTCTCTTCCTAATCCAACACTTTCTTTCTCGTCAACTTTCCTCCTCACGCTCCTAGATCTACTTTCCTCACGGCATTCCATGGCGGCCTTCCTAGTATCATAGCTAAGCTAGGTTCCTAAGTTTAGTTAGTGTCCTAAGGTTCTTTGAGATGGTATCAGAGCGAGAGATCCTTTCTGCTGGGCCGCCTACTCACGCTTCTCGTGCTGCCATGGCGCTCGTGTCGTGCCGCTGGCCGCGTCGTGCCGCGGCCGTCTCGACGCCCTGCTGTGGCGTCGCGCTGTCGTGCCGTCGCTTCCGCCGCACATTTCTCTCGTCACTGCCTTCCCGCCGTGGCGGCCATGCCGGCCTGTCATGGCGGCTTCGTCGTGCGGCCGTCGCCTCCTCGACGCCCTGCCGTGGTGGCGTCGACGCTTTGCCGTGGCAGCGTCACCTTGCTGCCGTTGCAGCGTCGGCGTGCCACCACAGCGTCAACGCCGCGCTCTGGCGGCGTCGTCATGCTGCCGCGGCAGCGTCGATGGGCGGCAGCGGGCAGCACGCCGTCGTAACCGCCACCTGCCCGCCCTCCTGCCAGTAAGCGCCGCGCCACTTATGGCGCGTCGCTGAAGACTCGCCCCGCCCCCTCCCCTCCCCCCCCCCCCCCCCCCCCCACCTCCACCTCCTTCCCCTGCATTCCCCCTTTCTTGCTGCAGCCGACGACTGCCTCACAAGAGCCCTGCCCACCGCCGAGGAGACTGGACATGCCGCCGAGAGGGCGGGGGCCGCTGCACCGGCCGCTGACGTTCGAGCCGCCGCCGCCGCTGTTGCCGCTGTTGCCGCGGTCCTGGCACTGCCGCACGCCGCCGACGCCGCAGCTGTCGTCACTGTCGCCGCTGCCGCCATTGCCATCTTACGGGCCGTGGGAGCTGCCCTCTTCCGGAGTCGTAGCGGCTCCTGCTGGGAATGGGGGTGCTGGGCTAGGGGGTGTGGGTGTGGGTGTGGGTGTGGGTGTGTGCGTGGGCATGACCCTACCAAGCCTAGGGGGTGTGTTAAAATTATATAAGTTATAATTTAATATAGGCTTGGTAGGTTGTTACTGAACCTTTCTGTAGAGGGTACAATCCCCTCCTTGTACTGCTCTCTCTTCCTAATCCAACACTTTCTTTCTCGTCAACTTTCCTCCTCACGCTCCTAGATCTACTTTCCTCACGGCATTCCATGGCGGCCTTCCTAGTATCCTAGCTAAGCTAGGTTCCTAAGTTTAGTTAGTGTCCTAAGGTTCTTTGAGAATTGGTGCGTCACCAAAAAATTCTTGCCAATCCCTTACATTGCAAAGTTTTTTTTAGGCTAAGGCTGTTTTTTCAGCGTTTTTAAACGGGGGAAGTCTGCGACTTAGGCCAAAAGCACGGGGTCAGGGATGATCGATCAGCGTGCCTCCAAATGAATCTAGGGGCCTGCTCATGACACAATCAGCATCAGTACCGGCATTGAGTTTTATCAGAGTGAAATATTAGCTAGCAACCCATCAAACCAGTTTACATCAGCCTATTCACCTCGCCTCTAAGTGACATCAGCAAGTCCATCCAACATGCTCCAGAGTATCAACGTATGCACAGCGTTACGGATTGGTACTGCTGTCAACCTCCTCCACTTGCTCCACTAGTCACCATTTGAGCCCAGCTTTTCCTGCAGTACAGCGGCTGCGTCCTCCTTGTTCACAAACGTTTTTGAAAACATAAACGGCCGGCAGTCTTTCTCGCCCTTTGGCTGCACAAGGCTCTCGTGAATGAAGCTCATCTCACAGCACAGCGGGCACTGTTGATTGTACTCAATGCTGAACATGCGGTAACCCAGATTCTCCAATGTGTAGAAGAGTGGCAGAGTGACCAGCGTCAGATTCATTCTGGGAAAGAAGAAGAAAAGAAAGTGTTGAGGAGGGAGATGTTTGGGTGGAGAGGGAAGAAGGGATGGCGTCACGTCCTGACAAAAATGCAAGCAAGAAATACGAGTACCACATATCAAAGGAGGAAGTATCGAAGAGAGCACGAGTCGCATGGAAGAGGCGTGAAAGTGCAAGCAAAAAGGGGGGATCAGACGCGCCCAAGGGGGGGGGGGGGGGGGGGGAGGGGAAGACGGGCAGGCATGGAGTAAAAGGATAAGCTTGCCCGAGAGATAAGCCGTTCTTAGCTGGCACGTAAGAAGAAGTGGAAGAAGAGAAGTGATGAGGCTAAGTATAGCTCCTTAAAGGGATCCACTGTACCCCTCCCCCCCTCTCCCCCCCCTCCCACCCTTCCTCCCCCTTCCCACCCAGCAACCCCCATCCCCCCCCCAACATCCCCAGCCCTAACCCCAACTCACTTGTGGAACTCGATCCGGATCTGCCCAAAAGGCAGCGTCCCCCTGTGAATGGTCAGCTGCACAGCCGTGTCGTCATTCACCCCCCCCCCCCCCTCCCCCCCAACACCCCCAGTCCCAACTCACTGGTGGAACTCGATGAGGATCTGCCCAAAAGGCAGCGTCCCCCCGTGAATGGTGAGCTGCGCAGCCGCGTTGTTATTCGCCGCCCCAAGCTCCGTCAGCAGCGCCTCCTCACAGCCCTCGCAGTCAATCTTGAACACGTCCACGTAGGTGTGGTTCAGCATTTGCATCATACCCTCCAGAGTCATGAATTTCAGTCCAGGGTATTTGTCACGGTAGGTTTGAAGGGAGCTGTTTGCAGAGAGGCCGATCTCGTTGAAGTGCAGGATGGGAACGGCTTTCATGTGGGCGATGGTGTTGAGAGTGAGGAAGGGGTCGAAGGTGTATGGCTTCACATGCAGTATCTTGTTAATCGACTCCTCAAACGAGTACTGGCCATAACTGCCGACGCTGTGAGTGGGGCATACAGGCACATAATGGGGGAAAAGCACACAAGGTGTGCAGTATCTTGTAAATGGACTCTCCAAATGAGTACTGGCCAAAGCTTCCAACGCTGTGGGTGGGAGCTGTTTGCAGAACGGCCGATCTCGTTGAAGTGGAGGATGGAAACGCCTTTCATCGTGGTGAGCTTGTTGAGAGTGAGGAAGGGGTCGAAGGTGTATGGCTTCACATGCAGTATCTTGTGAATCGACTCCTCAAACGAGTACTGGCCATAACTGCCGACGCTGTGAGAGGGGCATAAAGACACATAGCCGGGAAAGAGACACAAGGGGTATGGCTGCAGGTGCAGTATCTTGTAAATCGACTCTTCAAACGAGTAGTGGCCTGGCCAAGGCTTCCAATGCTGTGGGTGGGTGGGTGGGTGGGGGGGGTCACACAAGGCGCTTGGAGGGGGGAACAGAAGGTGGGGGGGGGGGTCACACAAGGCGCATGGAGGGGGGAACAGAAGGTGGGGGGGGGGTCTCACAAGGCGTGTGGAGGGGGGAACAGAAGGTGGGGGGGTGGTCTCACAAGGCGTGTGGAGGGGGGAACAGAAGGTGGGGGGGTGGTCTCACAAGGCGTGTGGAGGGGGGAACAGAAGGTGGGGGGGGGGTCACACAAGGCTCATGGAGGGGGGAACAGAAGGTTGGGGGGGGGTCTCACAGAAGGAGGGATTGGAGGACGGAAAGGCTTCTCACGAGGGCGAGCTTGTCAGGAGTGAGGAAAGGACCAAAGGTGTACGGCCGTACGTGGGGCTGAGATAGCTGCTCACAAGGTGTAAAGCTGCTCACAAGGTGTAAAGCTGCTCACAAGGTGTAAGGCTGCACGTGGGGTTGAGACGGGTGGACCAGCCCTCCGACTTTCCACTCGTTTGCCCCGTTACCAGCCTCCTGAAGGGCCTCGTAGCCCATACCCATAAAGGGGACAAGCACACAAGATGTGTAAGGCTGCCACGTGGGGGAGAGACGGGCGGAGCAGCCCTTGGAGTTTCCATTTCTTTGCCCCGTAGCCAGCCTTGTGACGACCACAGCCTTGTGAAGACGACAGGCAGAATCTTAGCCCATACCCTCGCCAGTGTCTCACCTGTACACGACGGGGTCCTTCTGAAAGGCGTTCAGAAGCAGGCAGGTCCGCCGTGGGCGTGAGGTAAGATGGGTCTCGTCTACCCCCTGCTTTCCCGTTCATTTTCCCCGTCATTACCCCCATGATTTGCCCCTGACCCCCACACCTCTCCCGGTAACTCCCCCTGAAGCCCATACCCTCGCCAGTGTCTGACCTGTAGACGACAGGGTCCTTCTGAATGGCGCTTGGGAGCAGGCAGGTCCACTGGGGGGGTTGATGAAGGTGGTTGGGGAGGAGAAGGAAATGGGGTTGGGGCACAGGGCGCGGATAGAGAAGGGGAAGGAAGTGTTGGTGGGTGGGGAGAAGGGTTCATGAGACGCGCTTGAAAGCATGAAGCTCCACTGGGGGGTGAGGTAAGATGGGCGGGGAAGGTGGGTGGGGAGATGGACATGGGGAGATGGACATGGGGGGATCGACATGGGGAGATGGACATGAGGAGATGGACATGGGGAGATGGACATGGGGAGATGGACATGGGGAGATGGACATGGGGAGATGGACATGGGGAGATGGACGTGGGGAGATGGACATGGGGAGATGGACATGGGAAGATGGACATGGGGAGATGGACATGGGGAGATGGACACGGGGAGATGGACATGGGGAGATGGACATGGGGAGATGGACAAGGGGAGATGGAAATGGGGAGATGGACATGGGGAGATGGAAATGGGGAGATGGACATGGGGAGATGGACATGGGAAGATGGACATGGGGAGATGGACATGGGGAGATGGACATGGGGAGATGGACATGGGGAGATGGACATGGGGAGATGGACATGGGGAGATGGACATGGGGGGATCGACATGGGGAGATGGACATGAGGAGATGGACATGGGGAGATGGACATGGGGAGATGGACATGGGGAGATGGACATGGGGAGATGGACATGGGGAGATGGACATGGGGAGATGGACATGGGGAGATGGACATGGGGAGATGGACATGGGGAGATGGACATGGGAAGATGGACATGGGGAGATGGAAATGGGGAGATGGACATGTGGAGATGGACGTGGGGAGATGGACATGGGGAGATGGACATGGGGAGATGGACATGGGGAGATGGACGTGGGGAGATGGACATGGGGAGATGGACATGGGAAGATGGACATGGGGAGATGGACATGGGGAGATGGACACGGGGAGATGGACATGGGGAGATGGACATGGGGAGATGGACAAGGGGAGATGGAAATGGGGAGATGGAAATGGGGAGATGGACATGGGGAGATGGAAATGGGGAGATGGACATGGGGAGATGGACATGGGAAGATGGACATGGGGAGATGGACATGGGGAGATGGACATGGGGAGATGGACATGGGGAGATGGACATGGGGAGATGGACATGGGGAGATGGACATGGGAAGATGGACATGGGGAGATGGAAATGGGGAGATGGACATGGGGAGATGGACGTGGGGAGATGGACGTGGGGAGATGGACATGGGGAGATGGACATGGGGAGATGGACATGGGGAGATGGACATGGGGAGATGGACATGGGGAGATGGAGATGGACATGGGGAGATGGACATGGGGAGATGGACATGGGGAGATGGACATGGGGAGATGGACATGGGGAGATGGACATGGGGAGATGGACATGGGGAGATGGACATGGGGAGATGGACATGGGGAGATGGACATGGGGAGATGGAAATGGGGAGATGGACATGGGGAGATGGAATGGGGAGATGGACATGGGGAGATGGACATGGGGAGATGGACATGGGGAGATGGACATGGGGAGATGGACATGGGGAGATGGACATGGGGAGATGGACATGGGGAGATGGACATGGGGAGATGGACATGGGGAGATGGACATGGGGAGATGGACATGGGGAGATGGACATGGGGAGATGGACATGGGGAGATGGACATGGGGAGATGGACATGGGAGATGGACATGGGGAGATGGACATGGGGAGATGGACACGGGGAGATGGACATGGGGAGATGGAAGGGGAGATGGACATGGGGAGATGGACATGGGGATGGGGGGAGATGGACATGGGGAGATGGACATGGGAAGATGGACATGGGGAGATGGACATGGGGAGATGGACATGGGGAGATGGACATGGGGAGATGGACGTGGGGAGATGGACATGGGGAGATGGACATGGGAAGATGGACATGAAGAGATGGACATGGGGAGATGGACACGGGGAGATGGACATGGGGAGATGGACATGGGGAGATGGACAAGGGGAGATGGAAATGGGGAGATGGACATGGGGAGATGGAAATGGGGAGATGGACATGGGGAGATGGACATGGGAAGATGGACATGGGGAGATGGAAATGGGGAGATGGACATGGGGAGATGGACATGGGGAGATGGACATGGGCAGGCAGGATCACTGTGGGGATGAGGAAGGTGGTGGGGGAATGGAGATGGGATCATTGCAATGTGAGAGGGAGATTCACTAGCAAGGTAAATGAATGCAAGGTAAATGAGTGCAAGGTAAATGAGTGCAAGGTAAATGAGTGCAAGGTAAATGAATGCAAGGTATGTTCATTACATCCCCCTTTTGCCTCTGCCCCCTCCCCATCCCCTCCCTCCCTCCCTCCCTTTCTTCCCTCGTCCCCTCACCTTTCCTCCGCCCCCCCACTCCCCAACGCGTTCGTAGACAGGGCACGGGTACGTGGGGATGAGCACGAGCAGCTTCAAGGCACGGGCCCTCCCTTCCCCGTCTTACCTCCCTTTCCCTCCCCCCCCCTCCTCACCTTTCCGCCGTCCCCCCACTCCCCAACGCGTTCGTAGATAGGGCAAGGGTACGTGGGGATGAGCACGAGCAGCTTCATCATGACGTCATTCATTGAGTCAGGCGCCGGTTGTAGCGCGCCACCGCAAGCTCTCCTCCTCAATACCCTGTTCTCCTGTCAGTGTTTGAGGGAGGGGGGAGGAAGGGGGGAAGGGGGGTCGGGGGGTGGAGGTTCGGAGGAAGGGGAACAGGGCACGGGTTAATGGGGAGGAGCACGAGCAGCTTCATGGTGACGTCAGTCATTGAGGCAGGAGCCGGCTGCTGGCTCGCCTTGCGCCTCAGGACTCAATTCCCCTGCGAGTCTTTGAGGGGAGAGGGGAGGTGGAGGGGGGGGAAGGGGGGGAAGGGGGGGTATAAGTGGGGATGAGCGCGACCGTCGTGATGGCAAGAACCGACGTGGAGGCCTCAGCACTTGCACTGAGCGAGCGAGCCCTTGCACGCCTTGCGCCTCAGCACTGGGTTGTCCTGCGAGCGTTTGGGAAGGCTTGTGGGACAGAAGGGAACGAGACTCCTTTTGAGTCGACTCAGCTTCTGAGTCTGCTTTGAGTCGACTCAAAGGCTTGTGGGACAGAAGGGAACGAGACTCGGAATCGGAACCGGACTCGGCCCTCACCCAGTAATTCGCCTCCGCACGGCACATCGCCGCGTCAATGCCGCTCATGCTGGGAAAGAGAAACGCGGCCCATCCGAGGCTAGGCGGCAGGTACGGAACCGAACCTCCGCCGCTGCTCCAGCCGCTGGATAGCAGGCCCGGAGGCGATTGGAATGCCAGATTAATGGGGATGACTATAGCGAGGATGACGGCGAAGGGGATGATGTAGGGACGGATAGTGCTGACGACCTGCTCGCCTATAGTACGTAGAGAATGAATCACTGGCTTCCTCAGGAAGGTATTGATAGATGGCTTGCTACTGGCGTGCAGGTCTGACAGAATATTCTGGTGGTCAGCCATACTACAAGTCACGGACTCCAATAAAAAACGGCTCTTAAATATGAGCAGCGGGTTTCACGCGCTAGTAAGAGCGTCGTCGGTCTGAAGGAAAACGGCGGGAACGGCGAGGGAGGCTCTATGGTCGCATTGGTGTGGTTGCATTCAGGGCATTGGAGGTCGCTTCAAATCGGAATCGCATGTCCGGAACAAGCCTGAATCCAGAAGGAAGAATGGCTTCAGGCTAAATGTGACGTGTCAGAACCCGGAGTAGGTGACTCTGGAGAAAATAAACCAGCCCGGATTAGACTATTTGCTACCCTGAGCCCTGACAATGAAGAATTTCAGGAGCTCGGATCTGAACATAGCCTGTGTATGTGGGTTCCTGACAAGCGGTGAATAACTACCACTGACGTCGCAGCAGCACCTAGAGATAAAGACTTGTGTGGCTGGAACATCGGAAATAGGTTATGCGGAGAAAACAGATTTACACTAGGGTAACAGTCTTCGAGAACGCTGCGAAGGGAATTCGTGAGACTCTTTTGCCTGGGCGATGTTCGCCAATACCAAATCCAGTACCGGGTTTTCCGCGACGCTTACAGATATTCCACGGGCTGGCGTTTTGTAGCAGCTACGGAAGCATGGAGGCATGCGGGAGGGAGGGCGTGAGCAAAGCTGCTAAGTTCAATGCGTTACAGGGGGTTCCAGTACGGTACAGGGTTCCACACCCAGCCGAGCCATGGGAATAAGAGCGCTGTATTCACCAGGCCTATCGGCTGTTCCGCGAAATGTGGTCATGTGGCCAATGGCAATCCGGAAATTTTGGCGGGAATCTGAGTCAGAGTCGCCGCGAGTCTACTCTTGCCTACGATCATATATGGGCATTGTCATTCTACTAGCAAAGTTACACCACGTACAGAATGAGCTATAATAGCGTACAGTATCTGCACCAAACAACATTTCTTTTTCAACTTATCATACATACATCCCTCAAGAGTCTATTTGCTTGCTATGCAAGCAACCGCCCCAGACGAGACGATTCCTGTAAAGCCCTCTTCACACGAACACATTCACCTCATAACGAAGTGACGTCACCATTTTAGACAGCACTAGCATACCTAACAGATTCCAATGCATTTACTTCGGGACAATGCAATGGGGTTGCTATTTTCAGCTTCATATAATCTCCTCTCACTCCACTCGAGTCAACATTTACAGAAGGCTGATATCACTGGGGAATTCCAGTGTATTCATTCAGTCTAGAAGTATTTTATGGGGTTGCTACGGTCAAATTCACTGAACCTGCTCCATTCACTCCACCCGAGTCACCATTTACACCCAGCTTCTCCTGCAACACAGCGGCTGCAACTTCCTTCTTTGCAAGCGTTTCCAAAAACATAAACGGCCGGCAGTCTTTCTCGCTGCTTGGCCGCACAAGGCTCTCGTGAATGAAGCTCATCTCACAGCAGTGCGGGCACTGTGGATTGTACTCAATGCTGAACATGCAGTAACCCAGATTTTCCAAGGTGTAGAAGAGCGGCAGGATGACCAGGGGCAGGTGCATTCTGAGAGTGAGAAAACGCGCAGGGTTGCAGACGGAGGAGAGGGTTTGAGTGGAGAGGAGAGGAGAGGAGGAAGGTCAATAAGTCGCACCGGCAATGCAAGTGAAAACAGGGAGTGGGTCGAACGGGGAAGGATCGGGAATGGGGGAAGCCAGGGAAGAGGCAAAAGATGGCGGTTCAAGCGTAATCCAGCGTGCAAGACAAACGGAAGAGACGTGACGATGCCAAGAGTAGCTCCTTGGGGGACGAACCGCCAAAACTATAGACCGCAACTCACTTGTGGAACTCGATGAGGATCTGCCCAAAAGGCAGCGTCCCCCCGTGAATGGTGAGCTGCGCAGCCGCGTTGTTATTTGCCGCCCCAAGCTCCGTCAGCAGCGCCTCCTCACAGCCCTCGCAGTCAATCTTGAACACGTCCACGTAGGTGTGGTTCAGCATTTGCATTATTTGTTTCAAGGTCATGAATTTGAGCTTGGGAAACCTCTTGTTGTAGGATTAAGCGACATGCCTGCAGAGAGGCCGATTTCGTTGAAGTGGAGGATGGAGACGTTTTTCATGATGGCGAGCTTTCCGGGGGAGAGGAAGGGGTCGAAGGTGTATGGCTTCACGTTCATTAACTTGTAAATTGAGTCTTCAAACGAGTACTGGCCATAGCTTCCAATGCTGTGGGTGGGAGGGTGGGCATGTCACGGGGAAGAGCATAGAAGGTGAAAGGGCTGGGCGTGCGGAATGAGTCAACTCCGAACGGAACTACCATCACAATGCTGCGGGCTGGGTGGGCACATCACGGGAAAGAGCGCATGGGCTCTGAAGAAGGTGAAAGGGTATGAGTCGACTCAGAAAGAGACTACTATCACAATGCTGCAGGTGGGATGAGTGGGCAGTGGGCACATCACGGGAGAGAGCGCATGAGCTCAGAAGAAGGTGATGCGCATGTTTTCATTCCTTGCTTGCAAATCTCCCTTGCACCCCCCTAGTGGACCTGCCTGCTCCCAAACGCCTTTCAGAAGGACCCTGTCATCTACAGGTGTGGCTAGGGGGAAGGTGAGGGTAGTGGGAGGGTATGAGCGCCCAGGACTCCCAACCCAACCCCTGCGGTTGGCGGGACTCCCTCCGTCCGTCTGTTCATCCCTCACTTCCGAATGAGTTTCACTTCCTAACGAGTTTCATCTCCACGATTTTCACTTCCCTCTTCCGCTCACCTTCCCGCCGTCCCCCCACTCCCAATGCGTTTGTTAACCGGACACACGTACGTAGGGAACAGCACAAGCAGCTTCATGGCAACTTCATCCCATCTTCCATTCGCCACTGCCTATCCGCGCGCCACCCTCCTTCCTCCCTTTCTTTCTCCCCCCTCACCTTCCCGCCGTCCCCCATTCCCCAATGCGTTCGTCCACAGGGCACGGGTAAGTGGGGAGGAGCACGAGCAGCTTCATGGTGACGTCAGTCATTGAGGCAGGCACTGGTTGCAGCGTGCCGTTGCACGCCTTGCGCCTCAGGACTCGGTTCTCCTGTGAGTGTTTGAGGGGAGAGGGGAGGGGTGGGAGGAGGTTTGCGGCAACCTGAAGTGGGGAGGAGCACGAGCAGCTTCATGGTGACGTCAGTCATCAAAACAGACACCGGAGGCAGCGTCCCCTAGCACGCTTTCCTCCTCGGTTCTCTGTTCTCCTGTGAGCGTTTGGGGGACGGGGGAGAAGGGGGAATTTTGAAAGGGAGGGCTCCCACTGCCTGGGTTTCCGAGCAAGGGGGTGGGGTTTTCAGCAGTGAATCAGCTCTGCTTCATAGTAGCTGAAGATATATCGAAGCAGGCTGCAGTTCGCATTACAACGGCATCGCACGCCGTGCACCTCAACTCTCGCTTCTCCTGCATTGAGTGAGAGGACTTGAATATATATTTGAGGCGCCTATTTTCTAGGCGGCGCCTAAAAAATAGGCTCAACTCTCGCTTCTCCTGCATTGAGTGGAGGACTTGAACATATTTTTTAGGCGTCTATATTAAGGCGCCTCAAAAAAAGACTCAACCCCCGCTTCTCCTGCATTGAGTGGAGGACTTGGAGTGGGCGAAACGTGCCTGGATTGGCTTCCGTTTCTGGATGCGCTTCTGGAGTGGAGTGGATTGACAATGAAGCTAAGGAGCTCAAAACGCCAGCCTCACCCAATAAACGCAGAGATTGGCTTCGCACGACAGATTCTCACCGTCACTATGGCTTAGCATTACGGCTCATGCATTATGGCTCATGCATTAAGGCTCATGCATTATGGCTCATGCATTATGACTCATGCATTAAGGCTCATGCATTATGGCTCATGCATTATGGCTCATGCATTATGGCTCATGCATTAAGTCTCATGCATTATGGCTCATGCATTAAGGCTCATGCATTCTGGCTCATGCATTATGGCTCATGCATTATAGCTCATGCATTATGGCTCATGCATTATGGCTCATGCATTGAGGCTAATGCACTAAGGCTAATGCATTACGGCTCGTGCATTAAGGCTCATGCCAGGGAAAGAGAAAGGCAGCCAATCCGTAAAGTATACAGAACGAAGCGGAACTCGGATTCGTAACCCACCCAGTAATTCACCTCCGCGCGGCACATCGCCGCGAAAAGCAGGCAATCCACAGAGCGAGGCCTGCTGGTACAGAACGGATCGACACCCGGAATCCAAACTCACCCAGTAATTCGCCTCCGCGCGGCACATCGCCACGTCAATGCCGCTCATGCTGGGGAAGAGGAATGCAGCCCATCCCAGGCTAGGCGGCTGGTACGAAACCGACGCTTCCGAACCTCCACTGCTGCTCCAGGAGCTGGAAAGCAGACCGGGAGGCGACTGAAAAGCCAGGTTAATGGGGATGACTATAGCGAGGATGACGACGAAGGGGATGACGTATGGACGGACGGTGCTGACGACCTGCTCGCTTATTGTACGTAGAGAATGAAAGACAGCCTTGCTTATAGTGCGTATGGAGTTCGAGAGCTGGCTCGCTTCTGGCGTGCAGGTCTGACAGAATGCTTTGGTAATCAGCCATATTAGCAGCCGCGGAACTCTTAAAACGGCCTTAAAAACTATCCGCACTCCCTAATCGCTAGTCAGGGAGCCAACGGTCGTAATGAAAAGGGCGGAGGAACGGCGAGGTAATATATGGTCACTGTCGCATTCGTGTGGGTACGGAGAACAACCCTAAGAGTTGTATGAGAGAACTGCCCTAACGGGATTAATTCAGCGTTTCAAATGTGATGCATGGGAAATGGGCCTGGATACAGACGGCTGATTGCCATCTTATGATGATCAGACAGACGTTATGCCTGAATGGCGTACGCATTGAATGCGTAACGTCTGAATCTGGAGTAGGAAACTCCGGCCAATGCAGCAATCCAGGAGTTAGGAATCCAAGCAGAGCTCGTCGAACTGGATTCTAGATAACCCGTGTCTTTAGAACCCAAGTTATCTTCTAGATAAGTTATGCAGACATCAAGAAGCGGGGTTCATGGAGAACGTGTAATCAAGCTGAGGGAGTCATTAGTGTTCGTTGAACCTCAAAACCCTACCGAACCGTTTTATCACACACATAAAACGCTATGGAATACCGAGAACCCTACTGAATACCGCTGAAGTGACCTGATATCATTGCGCTCATTTTGAGGCAAGCAAACAACCCCTTATGGCGGGCTTCGCAATTCAGTCCAGAGACGGTTCTCCCTCCAAGCGTCGATCTTGAAACGTATATCACAGAAGTACAGGTACAGCCAAGCCTTAAGGAAGAGGAAGTTACGAATACATGTTTCCTTCTAGTCAAGCACGTGAGTAAAGTTTTTCCCAAATGAATGACCTACGAATCCGCTTGGAGCACTTCATGTTACTGTACTTGGTTCCATTCCAAGTGTGCCTCATGGAGTCTATACAGTCATCACGACGAGCCGCGTTTTGCATCCATTTTCTCCTGCGCTACTGCAGCCTCCAGTTGCTTCCTCGAGAAAACATCTGAAGCCATGTACGGTCGGCAGTCCTTGTCACTATGCGGCCGCACAAGGCTCTCGTGAATGAAGCTCATTTCGGCGCAGTGCCTGCACTGGTGGTTGTACTCAACACTGAACATTCTGTAGCCTAGATTCTCCAACGTGTAGACGAGTGGCAGAATAACCTTGGGCAGAGTCATTCTGTGGTGAAAACAAAGGAGTGAGTTGGAGCGGGGGGGGGGGGGAAGGGGACGAAACAAAGTGATATTGGGCAGATTTATGCTGTGGTTGAAAGAGAGAGGGTTGGGTTGGAATGGGGGTGGAAGAAACAAAACAAAACCCGGGCAGATTCATGCTATGAGGGCAGATCCCCCCCCCTTACACCCTCAGCTGTGCAGCGTCGTAGTTATTCGCCGCCCCAAGCTCCCTTTCCTTATAGCCGCCAATTATACACCCACTACTCCCTTTTGCCCCTTTCCCCCCTCCCCCACCTCACTTGTGGTTCGATCAAGATCTGTCCGAAAGGCAGAGTCCCTCCGTGAACAACCAGCTTTGCAGCGCCGTAGCTATTCGCCGCTCCAAGCAACATTCCTCACTCTTCCCTCTCCCCCACCTCACTTGTGGAATTCAATCACGATCTGTCCGAAAGGCAGAGTCCGTCCGTGCACACCCAGCTGAGCAGCCTCGCAGTTATTCGCCGACCCAAGCTTCCTATCTTAGGGATACCAACCATACACCCGGCATTCACCTGAGCATTCACCTGAGCATTCACCTGAGCATTCACCTGAGCATTCACCTGAGCATTCACCTGAGCATTCACCTGAGCATTCACCTGAGCATTCACCTGAGCATTCACCTGAGCATTCACCTGAGCATTCACCTGAGCAAGGCTTGACTCACTTGTGGAACTCGATGAGGATCTGCCCAAAAGGCAGCGTCCCCCCGTGAATGGTGAGCTGCGCAGCCGCGTTGTTATTCGCCGCCCCAAGCTCCGTCAGCAGCGCCTCCTCACAGCCCTCGCAGTCAATCTTGAACACGTCCACGTAGGTGTGGTTCAGCATTTGCATCATACCCTCCAGAGTCATGAATTTCAGTCCAGGGAATTTGCTGCTGTAGCTCTTAAGGGATGTGCTCGCAGAGAGGCCGATTTCGTTGAAGTGAACAAAGGAGACGTTTCGCATGCGGGCGAGCTTCTCGGGAGTCAGGAAGGGGTCGAAGGTGTACGGCTGCACTTCCAGAATGCCGTGGATGGCCTCTTCGAATGAGTACCTGCCATTGCTTCCAATGCTGTGTACGGGACGGGTAGGGTGTGCATTAAAGTTGGGGGAGGGAGGGAGCAGGTGAGGAAGGGGTCGAAGGTGTGCGGCTGCACGTTCAGAATGCCATGGATGGATGGATGGATGGATGGATGGATGGATGGATGGATGGATGGATGGATGGATGGATGGATGGATGGATGGATGGATGGATGGATGGATGGATGGATGGACTCTTCGAATGAGAACCGGCCGTTGCTTCCAATGCTGTGATTTGGGTGGGGCAGGCGCGCAAAAGGGGGAAGGGCGGGCCCACAATGGGAAGGGCCCGATGGGAAGGGCCCGATGGGAAGGGCCCGATGGGAAAGGCCCACAGTATGCTGGGGCAGGCGCACAGAAGGGGGAAGCGGAGAATGGTGGCACAGAAGAGTAGTTTAGAGTACCAGCCGTGTCCTACAATGCTGTGGGTGGGTGGAATGGGTGTGCACAGCAGAGGGAGGGGCCAACAGCCCGGTACGGGGGGTTATGGAGGCGCCTCAAAAGGGCTGACTTTTGAGTAGGTGGGAAAGTCTCAAAAGGGCGCACAGTGTGAAGGGCTGGTCGCAGACAGTCCAGTGGAGGGCTTTTGAGTCGACTCAAAAGCGCCTCAAAAGGGCTGACTTTTGAGTAGATGGGAAAGGGCCCACAGTGTGAAGGGCTGGTCGCAGACAGTCCAGTGGAGGGCTTTTGAGTCGACTCAAAAGCGCCTCAAAAGGGCTGACTTTTGAGTAGGTGGGAAAGGGCACGCAGTCCAGTGGGGGGGGGTCAGATGACTGGATGACGGGAGGACGGGAAGGCGGGATGAGACGGGATGGCTGACGGGATGACTGACGGGATGACCGACGGGATGACTGACGGGATGACTGACGGGATGACTGACGGGATGACTGACGGGATGACTGACGGGTTGACTGATGGGATGACTGACAGGATGACTGAGGGGATGACACGATCACAGGATCAAATGAAGAGAGAGGTCAGGCAATCTTCTCGCGAGAACAGGCAGGCCAGGCGCTGGAAAGCAAGCACGCATGCCTGTCTGTTTACCCCTTCCACTCATGATCACTGTCTTCCCCCACACACTGTCTTCCCCCACACACTGTCTTCCCCCACACACTGTCTTCCCCCACACACTGTCTTCCCCCACACACTGTCTTCCCCCGCACACTGTCTTCCCCCGCACACTGTCTTCCCCCACACACTGTCTTCCCCCACACACTGTCTTCCCCCACACACTGTCTTCCCCCACACACTGTCTTCCCCCACACACTGTCTTCCCCCACACACTGTCTTCCCCCACACACTGTCTTCCCCCACACACTGTCTTCCCCCGCACACTGTCTTCCCCCGCACACTGTCTTCCCCCGCACACTGTCTTCCCCCACACACTGTCTTCCCCCACACACTGTCTTCCCCCACACACTGTCTTCCCCCACACGCGCTCTTCTAACCCTCTCCGCTGCCTCACCCTCTCCCCATGAACACGACATGGCAGACAGTATCCTCCACCGCCTCAACTAAACTTGACAGGCTCCTTCTGAATGGCCGAGGGAAGCAGGCAGGTCCACTGCAGGGGTCAGAGGGTCGGAGCAACCCCTCTGCTTGCCCCCTCTGCTCTTCCCCTCTGCTCTCCAATTCTGCTCTCCCCCTCTGCCCTCCCCCTCTGCCCTCCCCCTCTGCCCTCCCCCTCTGCTCTCCCCCTCTGCTCTCCCCCTCTGCTTTCCCCCTCTGCTCTCCCCGTTCCTTGCCCCTTTCGCTCATACGAGTCTCACCCCCTCCACCGCCTCACCTATACACGACAGGCTCCTTCTGAATGGCCAAGGGAAGCAGGCAGGTCCACTGGAGGGGTCAGAGGGGTGGAGGAACAGGCATGGAAGGGAAGAAGGCTGCGCGATTGGGAGGAAGGATTCGAACCACCAAGGGATGGAAGGATTCGAACCACCAAGGGATGGAAGGATTCGAACCACCAAGGGATGGAAGGATTCGAACCACCAACTTGATTTGGGTTAGAGATTAGATGGGGATGAGGTTCGAGCAGATCGTTGGACATTGTTCTAGTGAAAACACGAATGCAAGTGAGAAGGTCAAAACACGAATGCAACCGCATCCCTCTCTTTCTCTCCCTTTCACCCCCACTCCCTCTCTCTCACTCTCTCTCTCACCTTTCCCCCGTCCCCCCAAATTCCAATGCGTTCGTTGACGGGGCACGGGTAAGTGGGGATGAGCATGACAGTCTTCATAAATTTATCAGTCATCACCGGCGCGGGTTGCAGCGTGCCGTTGCACGCCCTGCGCCTAAGCACCCGGTTCTCCTGTGAGTGTGGGGGGGGAGGGGCGGGGGTGGGGGGAGATGGGGGGAAGGGGAAGGGGAGGATAAGCAAGGATTGTCTTCTTGGCAACATGAGTCATCGCCAGGGCGGGATGCAGCGTGCCGTTGCACGCCCTGCGCCTAAGCACCCGGCTCTCCTGTGAGTGTGGGGGGAAGAGGGGGGGGGGGGGGAGGGGGGAGAGGGGGAGAGGGAGGATGGGGGGATTGTGTTCATGGCGGTATCTGACATCAGTTCGGCGGACTGCAGTGGAGCGGTTTCTTGCACGCCTTAACACAGGTTCTTATGAGAGGAGACCGGGGAGAGGGGGGGTCAGGCAGGGCGGAGAGGGGTGAATGCCTAGTAGTACTGCTGCATTTCGAACTTTTTTTTAATTGGCGTTGCAATTGAATTGGTGGTCATTCGAACGAACGAAACATAGAATCCGCTCAATCCTTTTGGATCGTCCAGTTCTCCCATAAAAAAAAAAAAAAAAAAAAAAAAAAAAAACAGAAACAAAAAAACAAAAACGACCCTTACCCAGTAATTCGCCTCTGCACGGCAAATCGCCGCGTCAATGCCGCTCATGCTGGGAAAGAGAAACGCGGCCCATCCGAGGCTAGGCGGCAGGTACGGAACCGACGCTTCCGAACCTCCACTGCTGCTCCAGGAGCTGGAAAGCAGACCGGGAGGCGACTGAAATGCCAGGTTAATGGGGATGACTATAGAGAGGATGACCGCGAAGGGAATGACGTACGGACGGATGGAGCTGACAACCTGCTCGCTTATAGCGCGTACGGAATCAAGTACTGGCTCGCTCCTGGCGTGCATGTCTGATCGAATTTCCTGGAATGTAGCCATACTTCTAGTGGGAGCCGCGCGACTCTCAGCAATTAGCTTTAAGAGACCCGATGGTACTAATCACCATGGCGGGAATGTGGTTGGTGTTTGAGAAACTCTCAAGAACCGATGCATAGGGAGTTTCGCGTGGGCGTAGCCCACCATCCAGCCACGCAACCATGACGACGCGAACCAGGCTTCGGAAATGTCAAGCCTAGGAACAGTTGTTGCACCCAGGAACTCTGAATTTCGGTTCTGTCCGGTTTGTGCAATTCGTTCGTGGTTCTGTGCGATGAGAGAGGTCTCCGGCCGGCAGATGCAGTCCAGCATCTTTGGCTTTTCCGTTTCCGCGGTTCCGCGAATGCAGCTAAGCAGCCAAGCAGCCGAAACGGCCAAGCAGGAAGACTGCCCAACAGCCAGCAGCTATGACGTCTGCCTATTCAGCAGCAGCCAGCAGAACAGCTGTGTCAGGCAGGAGCCACCATGTTCTGAAGGGCAACCAGATGGTACCACGCATTATGTTTCTGAAACGCATTAAAGCGTTTTGAACCGCTAAAAAACCTGCAGGCCTGCTCGAGCCTCACCTCAACCGCCCTGAGGGCGTCACCTTTTCTGTCAAACAGCCGTCAGGGTCGAACGTTTAGAGAGGTAAAAACACGGTGGGGTGTGTTTCAGTGTGCTGCAGTCAGATAAAAGCGTGGTACAGTGTGGTGAGTTGTCGACGGAGCCTTCGGAATTTCACTGTTAGTTTACCGACTTACATATCACAAAAGCTATTCTCTATATCATCTAAGACGTACCACACCCTAAGAGGCTTTAAGGGGGATCCACCACACATCATTATTTCCACCTCAACATTGAAATCCGTTAAAGATGTCATAAACGAGTGTAGGAGAGGTTATAATGACCCTCTCTATGTTGCACATTATCTGGGTTGGAAGTGATAAAATATCTACACTAGCTAGCATATTCATGTGGATGTGGTTGGCATCATCCTCTAGGTAGTTGGTCGCATTCAACCTGTTCCCTTGGTCGCACCAAGCTGTCATGAATGAAGCTTCCAGTAATGCACAGGTCACATAAAGGATTATCCTCTATATGGAACATTCGATATCCAACCGTTTCCAAGGAATACACCAAGGAAAGTAGCTCTTGAGGCTCATCAGCCCTGCTCACACAAATCACACGCAACAGCCGTCAGTTCGCGGGTGCGAAAAGAACGAAAGAAAGGGAGAGCTGCAAATGACGCACAGCGCATTCAGCCTTCCCAAATGCAGAAACCATACAAGAATTGAAAAGCTGATGGTGGATTAAAGCCTACACACATGATGAATCTTACTCGTGAAAGTCGACGACAAGTTGTCCGAAAGGGAGCCTCCCTCCCTTGATGGTCAGCTGTCAGCGGCTTAAAGCCTACACACACGGGCATACCAACATAAGGAACTGAAGCTTACTCGTGAAAGTCGACAACGAGTTGCCCAAAAGGGAGCCTCCCTCCCTTGATGGTCAGCTGAGCACCAACTGATGGATCTGCCGCTTCTTCCCTCCCCCCTTGGTAGTTCCGCACACCACCACTTGCACTCGCAATAGCACTAGCACTAGCACTCGCACCAGCACCTGCTGCTTCTGTATCCGTAGCTGCCGCCTCACTTCCTGCAGTGGCTCCTGCACTGCCTTCTACACTGCCGACTGATGGCGCTGCTGCTTGTGCTTGTGCTTCTGCTCCTTCTGCTCCTTCTTGTGCCTGTGCGTCTGTTTGTGCAGCTTCTTGTGCTGCTGCTTCTGCTAGTACACGGAACCGACCTATGCTATCCTCCCTCATGCCCCTTCCGACTCCCTCACTTACTCCTCCTGCTCCTGCCCCTGCTCCCACTGCTGCGCCTCCTTCCTCACCTGCCTTCCCTCCTCCCTGATCCATTCCCCCCTCCTGCATGTGTCGCCCACCCTCGTCTGTTCCCCCATGGAAACTGCCCTCCGTGCCGCCATGCATGTCATCCCCTGCTGTCCCATCCGCAGTATCCTCATACGCATCGAATATGACCTCCTCCTCGCACCCGCTGCAGCTGAGCTTGAGTATATCAATGTATGCATGGTTAAAATTCTGTGGGAAAAGAGAAAGGGAGTGTTGACGAATTGTAGGGAGAGAGCACGCAGGCTGAGGTTCAAGGCCCAATGAACACTGTCTTTACAACCATTGAATATGACCTCCTCCTCACACCCTCACACCCTCACACCCTCCCACCCTCACACCCTCCCACCACAGCTGAGCTCAAGGATATATGTGCACATGGTTGAAATCCTACTCAACCAAGGGACCAAGGGGCTCTTGCAAGGGGATATGTCAGAAACGAGCTCATCCAGTCATCCAGTCATCCAGTCATCCTGTTAGCCTATACTGCCCTCCCAGGTCCCCCTCTCCACCCTTTTCCCTTCTTACCTGCATCAATCTGGGAAGAGTGTGAAACGTAACATTCGAATTCCACCTATCATAATCAGCTAAGGACGCCCTTCCGGCCAAGCCAACAGAGTGGAAGTGAAGAAGCGGCAGCTGCTGCATGCGCGCCTGGGCTCCTGGCCTCCCCCCCTCCCCTCTCTCCCTCTCCCCTCTACCGTCTTCCCCTTCCTACCTTCATCAATGCAGGAAGTGTTCGAAACGTGACGTTTGGATTCCACTTCTGGTAATCCGTGTGTAATGAGTCGATTTTTTAGTCGACTCATTACACACGACTGAAAAATTTTGGGTCGACTCAAAAATCGACTCATTACACAATGCAGGAAGTGTTCGAAACGTGACGTTCGGATTCCACTTCTGGTAACCAGCCAGGGACGCCCTTCTAGCGAGCCCCACTGCATGGAATCAATTCAGCGAAGAAACGGCAGCTGGTGCATGTGCGCACTTTGCCCTCTGCCCCTCTACCCTACCTTCATCAACGCAGGAAGTGTTCGAAATGTGACATTTGGGTTCCACTTCTGGTAGTCAGCCAGGGATGCTCTTCCAGCCAAACCAACAGAGTGGAAGTGAAGAAACGGCAGCTGCTGCATGCGCGCTTGGGCTTGAGGGGAAAGAAAAGGGTCCAACGTGTATGGCAGGGAGTGATATTTGCGGAACATGGCTTCTTCGAACGAGTACTCCTCGTCACTGCCCACACTGGGAAGTGGGAAATGGGGGGAAGGAAGGAAGGAGGCGGAGGGGGAGAGGAGGGGGTCAGGGGTCCAACGTGTATGACAGGGAGTGATCTTTGCGGACCGTGGCTTCTTTGAACGAGTACTCCTCGTCACTGCCCACACTGGGAAGTGGGAGGGAACGGGGGGTGAACGGAGGGATGGAGGGGGGCGGGGGGGTGGGTGGAGCAGGCTCAGAAATGTGCTGAAAGAGAAGGCGAAACTCAAGGTACGAAGGCCCTTTCACCAGAAAGCTCCACTGCATGGAAGTGCAAGAAGGGCTGCTGGTCCTGCATGCGCGCTTGGGCTTGAGGGGAGAGGAGGGGGTCCAACGTGTACGGCAGGGAGTGCAAATGGGTGCACGTAGCCTGCTCAAATGAACACTCCTCGTCGCTGCCCACACTGGGAGGAGGGACGGAAAGGGGGGTCGCGGGTGGGGGCAGGGGGGTGGTTGGGAGTTGGCACAACGAAGGGACAGAGGGAGAGGAGGGACAGAGGGTGAGGAGGGACAGAGGGTGAGGAGGGACAGAGGGAGAGGAGGGACAGAGGGTGAGGAGGGACAGAGGGAGAGGAGGGACAGAGGGTGAGGAGGGACAGAAAGACGGTGAGTGAAGGTGTGTGGAAAGGAGTGGAGATGGCTGAACATGGCTTCATCACTGCCCACACTGGGTGAGTGGAGGGGAATGGGGGGAAGGAAGGATGCTGGGGGGGAGAGGATTGGGTCAGGGGTCCAACGTGTATGACTGGGAGTGGAAATGGCGGAACATGGCCTCTTCAATGAGTACTCCTCGTCACTGTCCACACTGAGGAGGGAGAGGGGAAAAAGGGGGGGGGGAAGGAGTGTTGAGGGGAGAGAAAAGGGTCCAACGTGTATGGCAGGGAGTGAGAGGAAGTGGCCGAACGTAGCTTCTTCAAATGGCAGGGGGGAAGTGGCAGTACTCCTCGTCACTGCCCACACTGGGAGGAGGGAGGGGAAGGGAGCACGAAGGAGGCTGAGGGACATGCCTCGACTGAGGGCATCACATGAGGGCACGAATGAGTAAGGGTCCAAAAGAGCGCCCTTACTCCAAAAAGCCCCACTCTTTAGTAGTGGAAGCGAAGAAATGGCAGCTGCAGCATGCGTGAGAGGAAGGGGTCTGGTGTGAATGGCAGGGAGGGAGGGAATGGTAATGGCTGAACACGCGCGCTCTGTGGCATGCTTCAATAGAAGGCCAACAGCCCCCTTACCTTCTCTTGCAGGCGAAGGACAACAGCCCTTCTCCTTCTCTTAGAGGCAAAAGAGGTGCAATGATAGTGGACCGTGGGGATAAGGTCAATCACACAAGGCCAACACAGCATAGACTCAACGTGCCTTTTGAGTCGACTCGAAAGCTGTATTTTGGTCGGAAAAGAAGAAGCGCTGTTGGTTGGTTGGAACAGAAGTAAGTAATTCGACGATAGTGGAGATAAGCTCAATCACACAAGGCCAACCGCGGCATTGGCTCAACTCAACCAGGCTGATTTGCATCAAACGCTCACCTGTAGACAACGGGCTTGTCTTGAATGGCTGTTGGAATCAAACACACCCACTGGGAGAGGAAAGTGAAGGGAGGAGAGGACGAGGGAGTAAACGAGTTGAGGAGGAGAACAAAGAATGGCTGTTCGGATCAAACACAGTCATCCCAGAAGGAGGAGGAAAAAATGGACGATTGTGGGTATGAGCACTTGCGTACGCTGGACATGGAAGCACCCCGCATTTACTTCTTTGAACCCTCTCCCACTTGCCTGTCCTACCATTTCCCAACTCCCAACCCGTTCCTCATACGTACAAGGGTAGGCACGTGGTTGGGTATGATTACGTGCATGCGTATGCCATGAAAGCCCCCCAAACGTTCTCCCATTTCCCATGAACACATACCTTTCCTCCCATTCCCCACGCCCCCACCCGTTCCTCATAGGGACAAGGATACGTGGGAATGAGCACGCGCATGCGCATGTCATGGAAATCTTTCAGCATCGGTTGTAGATGTCCCGCCAGAGATGCTTTCCTGTTGACCATGTTGGCCTGACGCGCGTGAGTGAGGAGTGGGGATTGGAAACCAGAGAGAAATGAAACAACCAAGGTGGTGGAAGTTCCTCAGCCGGCCCCACAGGCTCTCCAGTTTGTCGCGTCTTGAAGTGGATTATGGGGGATGAGAGAAGAGGGAAGCGGGAAACGAAATGGGGGACGTGTAATAACACGTTTGGACTCCCTAGCCACAGTTTCACATGGAGCACCTCCCCGGGAATGCCATAAGAGAGCACTTGAGCGTAAACGAGTAATATATAAGAGTACGAAATAAAAGAATACATAATCTAATCATGAATCACCTGGTACACTGCCAGCATCCACCCCGTTGTGACTGCAGACGTTCTGTCTCTATTTAAGAACCTAATGGCATTCCCTATTCACGTACTCACCCGGTACACCGCCTCAGCATGGCATAAGACAGTATCCAATCCGTTCCGTGCTGCCTTGCCATGGTATTCCCCTCTCATAGTCCCATCCTCTTCTCCCGAAAGAGAAACACTCTTTCCGGATATGCCATTCACTAGCCATAGCGGAACGACAATAACGAGGATAATCAGCAGCGCGGGTAGGTATGGCCTCGCCCTAGGAATCCAGTCGTCGCAATGAGTGAAAGAAGACGCGATGAACTCGCGAGGATTGTTCCGCAAGCGGCGAAAAACGGACTCCCACCATCGCTTGTCTACCAGCTGGCGGAAAAAGAGAGCCCATTCTCGCCGTCGGGGTGATGAAATCGCGAATGAGGCGGTGGAAAATGAGGAAATCGGCAGGGAGAAAGACCAGTCTCGAGGTTCATGATGTGAGGATCGGTGGACAGGTGGAGCATGAAGCGGAGGATGAGAGGAGGCTATCCGCGAGTGGGAGTTTATGAACGGAGAGCTCTCCTCTGCGCGTGATTCGTCTGGTCTAGACATAGTGAACCAGAGCCTGGCGCTTCTGTCGCAGTCTGGTACTAGACGCCGATTTGTGGTAGAATGCACCAGCTACAGACTGACTCGGAACTTGATATTGTTGTACCTGTAGCACCCATAAAACACGAGGGTGTATATCCGACCAATGTAAATACGGGACTTCATAATGCGAACTAGAACTACAGAATTGATAAGTTAATGTGCTAGATGCCTCGGGGCTTGCTACATCAGACGTCATATAATACTAGACATTGGATGCCGAACTAAGGACGAATGCTAGAACTACAGAATTGATATATTAATGAGCTAGATGCCTCTGAGCTTGCTTCCAGTTCTGAATCTTCATGTCATAGATGTTCAGGTCGCTGCAGTTGTCTGTGCCATTGATCGCCTGATGGCCTCAGCATATGTACTGTACTGATACGTCAAGGTAACATCCAACAACTCTTCCAAGGACGTCTCTGGCTCCCATCCTGCAAAATGCAGCTCAAATGGTGAGCAATCAGAAACATGTGCAAAGACTTACCAAGTTTCTAAATCCTTTACTATTTTATGTAAAAAAAACTTACCAAGCTGTTGCTGGATAAGCGTCATGTCTGGAATGCGGCGGTCACTATCGTCATAACCCTTTCCATAGAAGTCACTGGATGTTACGTCAACTGTGGGCGTTGCTGGCTCTGATTGCTTGCTCACTTTGCAATAGATCTGCAGGGCACGAGATGATCAGCCATTAGACTTGAACAACCCACTTACTCAGTAGAGTACTTGAGCCATCTGACATACCCTTGTCATCATTGTAGCCAGCTCACGAACAGAAGCTTCGTTCTTGGGGTTTCCAACGTTAAATATGTGCCCATTAGCTCGCTCCGGGTTCTCCTGCAATACGCGGACACAGTCAGATTACTGAGCAGATAACCACAAGCGGCAACAGCATGATATGAACTTACGATCATAAGCATCACGGCTCGGATTGCGTCCTTGATGTACACAAAGGTCCGTTGCGACTTGCCACCATCAACCAGCTTCAGTGGCTCTCCCCGTAAAAGTTGCTGTAGGGACAATAAGCAAGCAAGCTCAGAGAGATGCCAAAAATAGAGTACCCAAGCATGGATTACTAAACCTTCAGTACCTACATTGCTGAAGCAAGCAAGAACACGGGGCACGCCATCCTTTGGGCCATCGATTCCAGGAATGAAATCCATGCGGGGACCAATCCAGTTGAACGGGCGGACGATGGTGAAACGAAGATCATTTTCAGCCCCCTCAGCTGTGACAGGACACAAAGGTCTTCTTTAGAACCGGCGTAAAACAACAACGCAAAGCCGAATGAGCCAGCGGAGCTGGTGCGCAACACCCACCAAAGATGACCCTCTCAATGAGTTGCTTCGCACAAGCGTATGACCACCGTTGCTTTTGCACAGGGCCAAAGATGCAAGGTGTTTCGTCTTCTTTCAGCACATAATATTGGGGATCCTGTCAGATTTAGGGCAACCGGAGTCAGGCACTCGTTAATGCATCATCACAAAAAAGACGGCGAGATAAACGTGGAAGCAAGGCTCTTACCTTGCGGAGATTGCTGTCAGGAGGCAAGAATGCTCCAACAGTCTTGCCATAGACCTCACAGGTGGAAAAATGGATCAACCTCCTTTTGAAGTCCGAGCAGAACTTGGCCTGGAAAAGACGATCCATGATGTTACACCCCGCTGGAAAAGATGGATTCACTATTATCATGGAAAGAATGCCAACTAACCACAGGGAGAGCATCGACGAAGTTGCTGTAGATGGTATCCAGAGGCCTTGTGTTGTAATCAGCTGGAGTACAGATGGCAGCCAAATTGATCGTCTGCACGAAGAATCTGAGTCCTTAGTACGTGGTGAAATCTCAAGGGACTTAACCGAGGCGTTTCGGGTGGATAACGTTGAATATCTGTAGCAGATGGATAAGCAAGACCCACCAAATCACATGACTTGATTATGCCTTCAAGACGCGGATCATTGCTGATGTTGAACTGGTGAAATTCCATACGACCGCTCCATGGATGAGAATCACCCAGCAAGTGCTCGATCTTGTCGTTGTACATGTCAACAGCCACCACTATGTGGTTGGTCTCCCACATCAAAGCCTCGCACAAGTGTGATCCAATGAAACCAGCAGCTCCTATTATACACATCCTAATAGGTGCGATCTCCTTGCCATCTAGGTCAAATCTCTTGGCCATGACTACTATGGGTCGGATGGCTATCCGCGCAGAGGACACTCCGAATTCAGCCTGCTTAGGTGAAACGAAGCAGCACTAGAAAAACCTAGAGCGAAAAAAGAGACAATGTGATACCGCGAGATAAGGACTCTCTCGTTTCAGGAGGATTGGCCAGCAGACTCAAGGCCGGCAATGGGGATGCCTTACGAAGCTGAGGGAGCCATGGTAAAATCCAGAGACTTGCAGAGTCAGGCGGACGAGCATGAATCTGCTCAGAAGTCAGAAAGCACAGAGAGCTGAGAAGGGAGGTGGGATAGGGAGCGGGAAAGCCGTTTGGTTTTCGGGGACGGATTCCACTTTCGCGAATGGTAGGCCAATAGCGTCGCCTCAGCGTCATCTTTCATGCCAGTCGTCCGCGATTGTCTGACAACGCGCTCCTCGCCAGCCAAATCGCTCGTTTCGCTAGTGGATACTCGAAAACTCTGCTAATAGAGTCTACATGCTGGTAGAGAGTAAATGTGAATCGCATGAGGGCAGATGTAGAATGGAAGACATTTGGTTTGGTGATACCCCATTGATGCATTGCATCAAGAATCAGAATTTGGCTGTATTATTAGTAAATTCATTATGTATCATGCTAATTTGCATGTAATCCACTCATTCATAGCTCACATCTTCTCCCTTTCGTAGTTTATGCTTTACTTGTGCATCTATCTGTTCTAACACATTATATATATTCAGTTTCTAAACGCGGTTTCCTTCCTCCCTTCACATTTTCTATGTGCAAGGGATGGGGGTGTTTCTCCACTTTCCTGCCTACACCTCTCCTCACACTAGGCAACATATATAGACAGCTACATGTACAGAACGAGCAACGGAATACACTGCTTAGGGCTAATCACCCTGGAGACTGCCTTCCTCTCTCTCCTCCCCCCCAACCCAAGGGTGCATTTCTGTACCAGTCCTCGTTTTCCGTCGGACCACAGCAGCAGAGGCGTACCAGCCACAGCCACAGCCACCCACCCTCAAACCATTTTCTCTCCGCCTTTCGCGCAGCCACTCCGTGCCTCCCCGACCGACGCTACCACCCGTTGCGTTCCGTCTCGTGTCTCGCCATGTCTCAGGCTCTGACTCGCTCGGTCCTGCGACGCGCGGAGATGCTGCGCAGCGTGTCTGCCAGGCAGATGTCGTCGTCGTCGTCGCACGCTCACGACGTTGGTGAGGAACATTGCTTGTAGATCTCGTAGTTTGCTTGGACAGAGTTGTTAGACCTGCCAGCGTGTCTGCCAGGCAGATGTCGTCGTCGTCGCACGCTCACGGCGTTGGTGAGGAGCGTTGCTGGTAGATCTCGATCTTGCTGTAGCGGCCTTCGTCGCTTCCTTCTAAAAGAAAATAAACAGTTGTAGAATGCACGGCGTCGTTTATTCACTCGTATTCGCGTCGTCCTCAACCACTCTTACGAGGCCCTTAGAAACCTAGCAACGTTACGTGACTTTCTCTTTCTCAACTATCCGCCGTCTTGACCTTTGTTATTGCGACGTTACGTGACTTTCTTCTCAACTATCCGCCGTCTTGACCTTTATTATTGTGCTTTATTTGTGTTACGTTGCTTTGCCTAATGCCCGAGCAGAGGAGACCATCAAGTGGCGGAACGTCACCGCTGTCGCCATCGCCGGCTGCTTGGCCCTTGGCGTTTACAACTTCGCCGGAGTCCCCCACCACCAGAAGCACGACCGACCGGTAGGATTCCCGTCGCATTCGTCTTGTTACGCGGTTTCCATGGTGCCATCGCCGGGCTGTCTGGCCCTTGTTTTAGGGGAGAAACAACCTTGCATTCTGACAAGGTAGCAGCCGGCTTCGTCGACAATGGTAGCTGCGCTGTGCGACGTCGAGGTGCGACGACGACAAGACTCAGCATTGCAGATTGAGAGCTGTTTTGAGCACAGATCGCCATGCGCATCCACACGACTCGAGGAGGAGTCACAGCGTATTTTATATGTATTATACCTTTGTGTGGTGGTGCTGCTTTTGCAGGATTACCCCTACCTTCACATCCGCAACAAGGAGTTCCCCTGGGGTAAGAAATTCTCGGAAACTTGTCCCTTTTCAACCCACCCCGCCCTTCCCCGTCCCACCCCCACACCACTCTTTTTCACCACACATCCACCCCCCATCCCCCCCACCCACTCCCTCCCCCTCTCTCTCCCGCTTTCACTATTCCTCTCTAACACACTTTATCTCTTTGGGGCTACTGCACCCCCTCTCAACCAAAACTTGAAACGTTCTTTTGCCCTTTCTCTGACGGTGTGTGACGTTGTTTGACATCGTGTTGTGTGTTAAACGTACCCCTGCAGGCCCCTGCGGTCTGTTTGAGTGGGATTGCAAGAACGCCAGCGAGGCCAAGTGAAGCGCCATGTAGTAGCACAGGCACAAGGACTAGTGGATGCACAATGGAGCACAAGCACAAGCGGATGCACCGTGTAGCACGAGCACTAGTGGAGTAGATGGGAAACAGTCGGGCATGCTTTGTGCTGGCTGGCATGGGAATGGGATCGGTTGGTTGGAGCATGACTGGAGAGAGAGAATGTGCCGCTAGTGTAGCCTGTATTGTGAATGTATAAAGAATTGAATCATGACAGCACACAGTAGTGAGGGGGTCTCCTGGGTAGCCTCCAGCTCTAGCAGCATACTAATGTGAGCGCTGTACTGTTATTGTTGCATCCTCCAAAATACATGCAAATGCACAGCAGCATCTTGATGGTTGTGCCAGTGTAGTTACATTTCTGTGCTACGCTCTGTAATAAGCACATCCCCTCTTGAGTCTCGTGAAATGCGGATTTCATTATCAATGTACGTGTTGTCAAACCTGTGGGAATGGTGTAGCACGGTACAGTGGCAGGGGTAGGGTGGGATGGGATGAGCTAGAAGCACACATGTCAATAGAAGTTGATAGAAGGGCAGGGCCAAGGAGATGGTAAGATACGGTAGCCGGTCCAAAGAGCCTACCCCCACCAAGCAGTGACCCTGCCTTGTCGTCGCAATCGAGAGCGAACACTCACCATCCTTGACCGAACGGCGGGACAGGTAGGGTCCACGAAGCAGTGACTAGTCGCGCACCAGTGAACCTGATGTGGGGACGTGAATATGAGGAAAGCAGGGGGAAAAGGGGGGAGAAAGGGCTTGGGGGAAAGGTAAAAAATGAGACTGGTGGTGATTGTGTGGGGAAGGCGGAGTGAGAGGGGGGGTGAGAGGGGGAGTGAGAAGGGGAGTGAGAAGGGGAGTGAGAAGGGGAGTGAGAAGGGGAATGAGAGGGGAAGCGAGAGAGGGAGCGATAGCAAAGGGGAGAGGGAGAGTGGGGTGGCAAAGGAAGCAGAGACGGAGGGAGGGAGGCAGAATGGGTGCGTGTTGGAGAGGGGGAAACTGGGGGGAGAGAGAGAGAGAGAGAGAGAGAGAGAGAGAGAGAGAGAGAGAGAGAGAGAGAGAGAGAGGGTAGTGTGGATACTGACTGGAAGTTCACGCGTTGGGCGGAGGCGACGTGAATGGATGCAGAGACATCAAACATGCCAGAGGGGGGGAAGGTGATGGTGTTGCTCAGCGTGCCTCCTTGAACATCTATGGTCTGTGAATGGGTGTGTTTGAATGGAAGGGAAGGGAGGTTGTGGGGAAAGAGTGAGGCAACTTGGATGGGTGCAGTGTGTGCAGGGCAGACACAGTGAACATGCCCGAGGGGGGGAAGGTGATGGTGTTGCTCAGCGTGCCGTTGCTCACGTCTATGGTCTGCATGTGGGGATGAAGAAACCCAAGAAGCGCCCAGAGGAAGGGAGGTGGGGGGGAAACGTGATGGTGCTGCACAGCGTGCCTCACATCTATGGTCTGCATGAGGGGACTTCAAGGCACGGACGGGAGGGGTGTGGGAAAGAGTGAGGCGACTTGGATGGGTGCTGCTGACACATCCAGCATGCCGGAGAGGGTGGGAAGGTGCTCGCCCTGGCCTGTTGCTCAGCGCGCCCTGGCCTTGCTTGCTGGCCTTGGATGGTCTGCATGAAAGGGGGGTAAGAAACCCAAGCTTCTGCATGAAAGGGGGGTAAGAAACCCAAGCTTCTGCATGAAAGGGGGGTAAGAAACCCAAGCTTCTGCATGAAAGGGGGGTAAGAAACCCAAGCTTCTGCATGAAAGGGGGGTAAGAAACCCAAGCTTCTGCATGAAAGGGGGGTAAGAAATCCAAGCTTCTGCATGAAAGGGGGGTAAGAAACCCAAGCTTCTGCATGAAAGGGGGGTAAGAAACCCAAGCTTCTGCATGAAAGGGGGGTAAGAAATCCAAGCTTCTGCATGAAAGGGGGGTAAGAAACCCAAGCTTCGCACACTGGCCTACCCTGCGTCGTGCCTCCAACCTACTTGGAAGGTCTCCCCCGCCTTGGTTCCAAAGAAGGGAGCTTGCTTGAATATGAACAGAGTTTCCTTCTCAGTCGTCCACAGAAGCTTCCACGTGGCGCTTAATGATTCGTCAGACGTAGTCACAGTCACTGCCACGTCAACTAGCCTTTCCAAAGATTCTATGGCTGCCAGAATCTCGCGATTAATCTCCTCGTCTGTCATCACTCCGCGCTCCGACTTAGCAATCGCGGCGCGGAGCCTGGCTTTAATCGCCGCTGCGTCATTCGCGGTAGACGATTCAGACGGTTTAGAACTACCGCCGTCAGTGGCCGAGGTGACACAAAGCGTACGTCCGCTTGTCCGCGATAGTAATCGTCTCGCTGACTTTGTTACCAGATTCGGAGAGATTTCGTGACCGGAGCAGCTCACTGAACGAAGACCACTAAAATTACTGAGAGGACTAAGATTGGTTAGATTCCTGGCGACGCGTGTAATGGCGGGTCCGTGTCTAGAACGTGGCGTCGGCAGCACGGATGGTGCCGTGGACATGCAACTGACGGACACGGACTCCATGGGCCTGCGGATGACGGTTAGCCGGCAAGGATGGCGGTGGACGGTTTGACGAAAGCGAGGACGGGAACGCCAAATCGGATGCCCCTGCTCGAGTGGGGGTGTGTGAGCGTGGGGTGAACTTGACGGTTGCCGTCCGGGGCGGCCGTTTCGTTTCAGACGGCCGTCTATTTTCAGTGTTTCAGATGCAGACTGAATGTTGCGACGATTGCAAGCATGGTGGCAGGATGGCGCAAAATTTCTGGCAGCAAATCGGGGCAAAATGGAGGCATGCTTATAGCGAGCGCGGTTCTAACGAACCTTTTCTACACCGCTATATAATGCCCCAGGTTTCATCCGCTTGACATGGCAAAGAAGCAAATTGTTGGTCTCGAAAAATGCCAGTCAGTTTCACGAAGACAGTAACACCAAGTCGGTTCATTTCGCCACTCGTGACTTTCTGGGTTTCAATTTCGTCAGCCACGAGTCAGGAAAACCACCTTAGCACACTGACGCGCAGGCTGGGCCTGGGGGGACCAAGACCGCCATTTCTGACGCCCGCGATTCTGCGGTGAAATTCTTGCTGTTCTGCTTTTGGGCTTCATTCATAGGGGTTAGATTTTCCGAGTAGATGCCTGGTGTGGTGTCGGGATTCCGGAAGGTCACCCCGCGAGTCAGCTTCTGCGTTCGCTGCAGTCTTTCCTGCTGATCGCTCGGCCAGCCGCTGTCTCAAGCACCTGGGAGTTGAGTCTTGAATCGACTCGAAATACACCAGGATCGCAAGATTCTCGTCCCTCGGATTCGCCCGTTCAGGTTCTAGGAGCCTTCTCAGTTGAGCGTCATCAGCTGAGCGTCGTCAGTTGAGCCTCAGTTAGACGACACCGAGTGCCGGCGGTTGAGCCTCTTACTAGCGCCGCAAATTTCCTCGCTCGCGTTCTTGGTACCAAGAACGCGGAATACAGGAATTAGAGGAATAATCACACGCTGATTGTAGCGGGTCGTGAATCATTCTGTGACTGGAAGCTAACGAGCCAGCTCCAGCCACGTCCGCAGCCACGTCATCTGCCACGTCAGCACGATGCTGAAGAACATGTTCGGGCCGAAGCTGACTCCGCAGCAGCAGCTGCGAGAGTGGCAGCGCAAGCTGCGGCAGGAGCAACGCAACATCGAGAGGAACATCCGAGGTTGGTGGTATGGTGATGGTAATGGTGATGCTTATAGTGAGTATAGCAGGCAGGTTCAATGGCAGCGGAAGCTGCGGCAGGAGCAACGCAATATCGAGAGGAACATCGGAAGTGCGTGGATGGTGCGGTATGAGGTGATGGGGTGGGATGGGATGGGATGGGATGGGATGGGATGGGATGGGATGGATTGGGATGAGGTGGTAAGGAGGTGTGCTCTGGGAAAAGGGCAGCGCAAGCTATGGCAGGAGCAGCTCAACATCGAGCGGAACATCCGAGGTTGGTGGTATGGCGATGGTAATGGTGATGATAATGGTGATGCTTATAGTGAGTATAGCAGGCTGGTTCAATGGCAGCGCAAGCTGCGGCACGAGCAACGCAACATCAAGCATAACATCCGAGGTGCGAGTCTGGTGTCTGTGCTTGTGTAAATGGTGTGGTATGGGGCGATGTGGTGTGGGATAGGGTGGGATGTGGTGGGAAAGGGTGGGATGGGGAAGAGTGAAGAGAGTTAGCAGCTGTGGGAATGGCAACGCAAGCTGCGGCAGGAGCAGCGCAACATCGAGCGGAACATCCGAGGTGAGAGGATTCCCAATTTTGGGAGGCGATTTGGCAGCAGCGGAGGCGATTTGAGAGCAGCTGGCTTTTTTTTCTTAAGTCCCATTCTCAGCTCGTCCGGTTCTCTGCCCCTCGCTCTCCTCTCTCTTTGCTCCCGCTCTACTGCTCAGCGATCCAGCGCGAGAGGAGGCTATTTTTGAGGCGCCTCAAAAATAAACTCCAGCGTGAGAGAAGGTGAATGTGACGAAGGGAATTAGAGAGGTCACTGTCTCACCCCTTCCCTCCCTTTTTCGCCCCCTTCCCTCCCTCGCTTTCGCCCCCTTCCTCCCTCCTCCCTCCTGCTCGGAGATCCAACGAGAGGAGGTGAATGCCGAGAAGGGAATCAACGGGGTCACTGTCTCGCCCCCTCGCACCCCCTTCCCTCCCTCCCTTTCGCTTGCTCGGAGGTTCAACGAGAGGGGGTGAATGTGAAGAACGGGAATCAAATAGGTTACTCTCTCGCCCCCTTTGCCCCCCTTCCCTCCCTCCCTCCCTTTCCTCTCCTTCCCTCCCTCCGTCTTGCGCAGAGATCCAACGAGAGGAGGTGAACGTCAAGAAGGGAATCAAGGAGGCGGCGAAGAGGGGCGATCTGGGGTCAGCCAAGGTGCGAGAGATGTGCATGCAATGGGTATGGTGTGGTGTGGCGTGGTACAGTATGATAAGTATGCTGCCGTGTGGCATGGTATGGCGCTATGTGGGGGATGGGATGGGGTGGGATGGGGTGGGGTGGGATGGGGAGTGGGGTTCTGAAGTGACTTTTGAGTCGACTCAAAAGTCACCTTGATTCTGAAGGGAGTTTTTGAGAATTCTCAAAAACACCCTGCAAAATCTGAAGGGAGGTGAAGAAGGGAATCAAGGAGGCGGCGAAGAGAGGCGATTTGGGATCAGCCACAGTGTGAGACATATCTGCATGGGGTGTTGTGGTGCAATGTGGTGTGTTGTGGTGCAATGTGATTGGTGTGGTATGGCGACTGCGCGCGTGCGGCGTGCACGAGAACAAGGCTTAACCGCTGTTACCTCCCCAACATTCCAACCCTGCCTGCTACGCCCCGCCCTTCGTGATTTTCGAGTCGACTCAAAGGGTGATTTTCGAGTCGACTCAAAGGGTGATTTTCGAGTCGACTCAAAGGGTGATTTTCGAGTCGACTCAAAGGGTGATTTTCGAGTCGACTCAAAGGGTGATTTTCGAGTCGACTCAAAGGGTGATTTTCGAGTCGACTCAAAGGGTGATTTTCGAGTCGACTCAAAGGGTGATTTTCGAGTCGACTCAAAGGGTGATTTTCGAGTCGACTCAAAGGGTGATTTTCGAGTCGACTCAAAAATCATCAGGCTTAACCGCTGTTACCTCCCCAAGAATTCCAACCCTGCTACGCCCCGCCCTTCCTCGGGGCCAAGGAGTTGGTCCGGTCAAGGAAGGCCATTGGGCCTTTGCTCGAGCACAAGGCCAAGATGAACTTCACCTTCTCCCCCCCCCCTCTCCCCTCACCTCCGTTGCTGCCCCCCCTCCCCCCCTGCATGGACCTCGCTTCAGCACCTGGCCAAGGAGCTGGTCCGCTCACGGAAAGCAATCGGGCCCATGCACGAGCAGAAGGCGCAGATGAACTCTCCCCCCCCTTCCCCCGCCCGCCTCTCCCTTCACCTCCGTTGCTGCCCATCCCTCCTCCCCCCCGCCTACGTGGACCTCGCTTCAGCATCTGGCCAAGGAGCTGGTCCGCTCACGGAAGGTCATAGGGCGCATGCACGAGCAGAAGGCGCAGATGAACTCCAACCCCCCCCCCCCCCCCCCTCCTCCCATCACCCCCGTTGCTGCCCCCTCCCCCGCCTGTCCCCCTCCCCCCCTGCATGGACCTCGCTTCAGCACCTGGCCAAGGAGCTGGTCCGCTCAAGGAAGGCCATCGGGCGCATGCACGAGCAGAAGGCGCAGATGAACTCCATCTCGCTGCACCTGGGGGAGAACATTGGTGAGAGGGAAAGGAAATGAATGGGTTGGGGTGGGTAGAAGAAGGTTGAGGGGTGTTGGAAAGGGAAATGGGGCAGGGGGTAGAGGATGCGTTTGCTTAAGCAGAAGGTGCAGACGGGCTCCATATCGTTGCACCTGGGGGAGAACATCGGTGAGAGATTTGGGGGGGGGGGGGATGTGTTGTGGGGGCGATATGAAGGGGCAGTAAGGGGGGTTGTTTGCACGAGCAGAAGGCGCAGATGAGCTCCATCTAGTTAAAAAAACCGCTGCGAAACAAAGGGCCTGGTGGCGGCGACAGCCGACGTGCATCTAAAACACCATCCTCGTCCTCCTAGACCTCCTTTCATTGTCCTTCTCGCCCTTCCTTCACCCTCCTCCTCCTAATCCTCCTACTCTACTCCGGCTCTGTTCCTCCTCCTAATTGTCCTCCTCCTCCTCACCCTAGTCCTCCCCTTCCTCGCTCTAGTCGCCCTCCTCCTCACCCTCCTCACCCTCCTCACCCTCCTCACCCTCCTCGATATAAAGCGAACTTCCGTTTTTTACGGCGGTATAAAAAAAACGACCGTATAAAACGGCCGTTTTTTTGCACCAGTCAGAAAACACCACTTCTGACCGTTTTAATCGTATTAAACGGCCGTTTTATACGATTACGTTTTATACGGTAAAGAAAAAGTTAAAAACGCCGTTTTTTTGCACCTTGCTAGCAAGGCGCAGATGAGCTTCATATTGCCGCACCTGGGTGAGAGATGGGGGGGAGGGGACGGTAGGTGGGGGGGGGGGAAGGGGGGGGAGAAGGTTGGGAGGTGTAGGGAATGGAATGGGCCAAGGGGCAGGTGGACACATCCTCTCTCTTCTGCCCGTGCAGGTGGGCACATCCTCTCTCTTCTGCTCGTGCAGGTGGGCACATCCTCTCTCTTCTGCTCGTGCAGGTGGGCACATCCTCTCTCTTCTGCTCGTGCAGGTGGGCACATCCTCCATCTTAAGATGTGTGGAATGGAGATGTGCCCACCTGCACGAGCAGAAGAGAGAGGATATGCCCGCATGCACGAGCAGAAGAGAGAGGATGTGCCCGCTTGCACGAGCAGAAGAGAGAGGATGTGCCCGCATGCACGAGCAGAAGAGAGAGGATGTGCCCGCTTGCACGAGCAGAAAAGAGAGGATGTGCACGCGTGCACGAGCTGAAGAGAGAGGATGTGCCCGCCTGCACGAGCAGAAGAGAGAGGATGTGCCCGCCTGCACGAGCAGAAGAGAGAGGATGTGCCCGCCTGCACGAGCAGAAGAGAAAGGATGTGCCCGCCTGCACGAGCAGAAGAGAGAGGATGTGCCCGCCTGCACGAGCAGAAGAGAGAGGATGTGCTCGCCTGCACGAGCAGAAGAGAGAGGGTGTGCCCGCCTGCACGAGCAGAAGAGAGAGGATGTGCCCGCCTGCACGAGCAGAAGGTGCAGATGATCTGAATCTCGCTGCACCTGGGGGAGAACATGGTGAGATATGCGGCGGGGGGGAGGGTGAGGAGGGGTGGGGGGACTGCTTGTTTCGTGGGAGCAGGTGTTGTGAACAAGGCACAGATGAGCTCCATATCGCTGCACCTGGGGGAGAACATTGGTGAGGTGGGGGGGTGGGGGGGAAGGGGGGTAGGATACTTGTTTCCTGGGAGCAGGTGATGCTAACAAGGAACAGATGAACTCCATCTCGCTGCACCTGGGGGGGAACATTGGTGAGAGATGCGGCGGGGGGGGGGGGTGGGAAGAGGAAAGAAGGGAAGGGGGAGAGGGAGGGAGGCGGTTGCTGGAAGAGCAAGCATGGAGGTGCGCACAGCAATCTCTCTCAAGCGGTCCTTTATTATGTTTTTAAGGGGTACAGAGGTACAAAGCAGGGTTACGTATGTCATGGTGTCTCTCTCTCTCTCTCTCAAGCGGTCCTTTATTATGTTTATAAGGGGTACAGAGGTACAAAGCAGGGTTACGTATGTCATGGTGTCTCGCCCTCTCTCTCTCTCTCTCTCTCTCTCTCTCTCTCTCTCTCTCTCTCTCTCTCTCTCTCTCTCTCTCTCTCACACACACACACACACACACACACACACGTGCCCCAATCTACTAAATCCTATTTTCGGAATAACCTTCCATGTTAATCAAACGCCTTCCACCAGCCATGGCAATAGTGGCAGGGCACATGGCGAAGAGCTCTGAGGTGATGGAGCTGATCAACGGTCAGATCAAAGTGCCTCAATTGCTCTCCCTCCTTATTCCCTTCCCCCCCGCCCTTGATCCTCCCTCTCCCCCCCCTCTTTCCTTCACCAGCCATGGCGAAAGTGGCAGGGCACATGGCGAAGAGCTCTGAGGTGATGAAGCTGATCAACGGCCTCATCAAAGTGCCGCAAGTGGCAGCCACCATGCAAGACCTCTCCAAGGAGATGATGAAGGTGCGAGGGGGGGGGGGGGGGGGGGTTTGAGTCGACTCAAAAATCACCAGTCAAAGGAGATGATGAAGGTGCGAGGAGGGGGGGGGGGGTGAAGGGGGTGGAGATGAGGGGGGTGGATGTGAGGGTGGTGGATATGAGGGGGGTGGATGTGATCCCCCCCCCCCCTTTCGCCCCGTTTCCCCCTCCCCCCTGGTTCCAGGCTGGTTTGATCGGGGAATTGTTGGGAGAGGTCATGGACGATGCGCTGGACACCGAGGAGATGGAGGATGAAATTGTGGAGGAAGTCAACAAGGTTGATAGGGTCCTCCCACTCCCCACTCCCCACTCCCCCCCTCTCCTCCCCTTCTCTGGTGCACAGGCTGGTCTCATAGGCGAGATGCTAGGGGAGGCAGTGGATGACGCTCTGGACACCGAGGAGATGGAAGTGAGGACCACAACCCAGCCTCCCCCCTTTCCCCCCCCCTCCCTTCCCCCCCCTCCCTTTCCCCCCCTCCCTTCCCCCCCTCCCTTTCCCCCCCTCCCTTCCCCCCTCCCTTTCCCCCCTCCCTTCCCCCCCTCCCTTTCCCCCCCTCCATTTCTCCCTCCCTCACTTTCCCCCTCCGCGTCCCCTAACCAGGCTGGTCTTATAGGCGAGATGCTAGGGGAGGCAGTGGACGATGCTCTGGACACCGAGGAGATGGAGGATGAAATGGAGGAGGAAGTTAACAAGGTGTTGGATGAGCTGGCGACGGAAACTACCGCGCAGCTTCCCACGGCGGTTCGGCAGAAGCAACGGGCAGCAGAGGCAGCAGCGGAGGAGGAAGAGGAGGAGAGGGTGCCTCAGATGGAGTTAGGGTTAGGAGCAGAGGATGAGGCAGAATTGGCACGACTCAAGGCGAAGTACAAGTGATTAATTGGTGGTATCAGAAGCAGAGGTAGAGGAAGGAGCAGCAGTGGTAGCAGAAGTGCAGCAGCGGAGGAGGCTGAGCTGGCACAATTGAAGGCAAAGTACAAGTGAAGTGCCAGTGACAGCAGCAGTAGCAGAAGAATCAGAAGCAGCAACAGTAACCGCAGAGACAGCAGGGGAGGAGGAGGGGGTGCCTCAGATGGAGTTCGGGTAAGGAGTCAGAGGAAGAGGCAGCTTTGGCAAGGCTGAATATCAGGGTAGCAAGAGATGTGGCAGGGGTGGCTGCAGTAGTAGGTGAAGCAGGAGTGACAGCAGGGGCAGCAAAGGTCTCTTGGCATACTTTGAACATACTGTGTCTCGGGTATATTTCAGCCTTCTCATTCTCAGCCACTTCGGGGATGCCATGTGTACAGGGTTGGTAGAGAGTGAAGGTGGGCATCGCAAGTATATTGTACCCATCGTCAGATGTCTGGGATTGATCTTCTTCAATCAAGAAGTTTGAACTGCCGTTGAGAACGGCACATGTTAATATCCTCCTTTTTGATTTGACACTTGGAGTCAGACTTGGATCAGCCCTTGAAAATAACCTAGTGATCCATCAATCACTTGCAATTGCACCTGTGGGACTACCCGTCCACCCCAAAAAAACACATCAGTGGCACTCAGACCCGCAAACTGGAATGAGACAACCCTGAATGTGATTCTCAAGAATCCATCAATCGCCTATGCTTGCACCTGTCGGAATCAACTGCCCATCCACACCAACAAACACATCACCAGTGGTCCCCAGACCTGCAAATGGGAATGAGGAACCCACACCATTCGTTGCAGCGGTAGTATAGACACTAGATCCACCGTACACTGTGGGGAGAGTGGGGTTTGTTGCACTTGTTTGGGACATTGAATTGCCTTGGAAGCTTGAAGCGTACCCCATACCGTCTCCTACTCTGCTTCTCTGGCTGTTAGTGACTCCCAGGTTGTTGATGCTCCCACCATTGGCATCTTGCTCAAAGAATGTAGCTCCTGACCCCCCAAGAACCTGCTTCCTGGAGGCGACTGCCCGCAATGGAAACAGCTGACTCAGCGAAGTATAAACGATACTATTGCCATTTCCCCCTTCGGTGTTTCTGACACGAGCGCCGGCGTTGTCATTCTGATGACGAAAACCTGGTTCTGATTCATGAAGCCGTTGCTTTCTGAAAGCCGACGCCCAAAAGGTGGCCAGGCGCTTCAAATGCCCTCGTAGAGCCAGTCGAAGGGCCTGAAATGGCGAGGAACCAGTTAGAACGAGAGAAGAAATGGGCATAAACATGATAATCGTAGTCCCACCGGCCACTTACTGCACCCGATGACTCGGACTGCCTGAATTTGGCAGCATCAGGTTCTTCAATAGGACGAATTACCCCTCTGGTAGCAGTCAGATCTCTGGCAGCAGTTTGGAATTCAATCTGGGATGAGGACGCACTCTGGCGGCTATCAGCATCCACGTGGAGATCCCGGGGAAAATCACCAGATGGGAAGCTCCGTGCATGCACACTGACAGAGACACTGCGGAACCACAAGGAAGGTGGTAAGGGGTGAGAACGAAAGGATTGAACCGCTACACGCAATCGCAGTGCAGAATTGAAACGGAATTTCTGGCTTCTGCCAAATTACAAGACAGACTGAGTACGTACTCCAGCAGGATCAGGAAAAACTGAACCGCTGCCACACAGCTCAAGAATGACAATGATGGAGCCATTTCGAGGAATCAAACGAAGCTCGCCGAAAGAAGGATGAGACGGGAGCCGAGATGACAGGCGATGAAGGAAGCAATGATCTAAATTGAAAGGCTGCACAGCTGGTCACCGTTTTGAAACGGCCAACGGCAAGCAGCAAGGCGCTGCACCACGTCATTTCCAAGTGGTGGTGGCTCTTGGATAAGGTGGCACAGTGGAATCGGATAGCGCAGAGCGATATTGTCATGGGAAACGACGCGAATCCCGCGTTCAGGCTCCCTAAATTCCGCAATGTCTGGAACATATTGCTGATTTCAAGAAACCTCAGCGTCGCTCAAGCCGCTGTGATTTCGGGATGCGGACGGAAATGTTTTCATATCTAGTCTCTGAAGTGGGCAACGCAGCGCCAAATGTGAACGCGGACCAGGTTCCTTAGCCATGGACGAGAGATGACAGCTGATTTGATGAATTCGAGAAGAACTCTGTCAGATTCCAGGACGAAACTTCGCGTGGAACTGGTGAGTGGGCGTTGGACTGAACTTGACCTGACTGAGGGCGTGTATGGCGCGTACGTTTCCTGCTCAAAACCCTACCTAACCGTTTGATTTCGCCAGAAAAACTTCTGACTCGCAGAGCATCTCACCCAACCGCAATCAGACCTACGTGACACCCTGTGGCTCGGATATTCCCAAGGGGTGGAAAACATTTCTCTACAATTGTGGTGGATGGTTACCAAGGCAGCCGAACACCACTCGCGCGAAGGGATAGCAAAACCTTGTACTGGTTGGTTGTTGTCGCAATGGCACTTGCACGCTCGCGAAATAAGCTTCAGCGAAAAGGGCCAACAATGGGACCTTCATTACAGCAGAACTGCAGCAGCGGCATCCTGAAACCTGAAACACGAGACTGATAGAAACCAGCATGCTGGAAGTCCTCGATTCTGGAAACTGCATTCCTGAATTCGTGATTCCTAAATTTAGAATCCGTGTTTGGAAAGTCGGCACGGATGCTTTTGTAGAGCTAGCGCTCTTAGCGTCTTGTCCTCTTAGTCTCAATTTTTAGTTCTCCGCTTTCCACGTTGGCCCCTAAATTGCAGCACCTGTCTCGAAACTTTCTTTCGCTCCTAACGAGCTGACACGGCACGCCCGACAGCCATGTCAACCATTGCCGGCGGTGCTGACGTAGCAAGCCTGACATTCCGCGATATCACAATCTCCCTCCTCCGCTGCTTCTGGGCGATCATCGCTCTCCCGGTTCTCCTCGCCCTCGTCCCTCTCCCCGCGCTGGCTCCCCTCCGCCATCTCATGCGGATTCTAGCCGGCCGGGGAATCACTCAAAGCGGTTCTAGTAAAGCCGTGAAATCTCCTGCGTCTTCAAAATCCATCTCTCTACGCGTGAGTCTCCGAATTACGTCAGCCTTACATTTTCTTCTCATTTAGTCTCTTCACTCTACCTCTCAACCCCCTCCTTCCTCTCCCTTTCACCAACCAATGTCTGCCAGCACGCCTCAGTGCCGCATCGCTGGTTCTCCCACTTCTACATGCTCGGATTCTCCTTCAACCTCCTGCTCCTGACCCTCGCCCTCACTTCTCCCACTCCTCTCGCCCTCTCACCCCCCAATGTCTGCCAGAACGCCTCAGTGCCCCACTCCTGGCTCTCCCATTTCTACATGCTCGGATTCTCCTTCAACCTCCTGCTCCTCGCGCTCCCCCTCACTGCTCCCTCCTCTTGCCTCCCTCTACTCTAATTACTCTCTGGCTGGCAGCATGCCTCAGTACCGCACTCCTGGTTCTCCCATTTCTACATGCTCGGATTCTCCTTCAACCTCCTGCTCCTCGGCGCCCTCGCCCTCACTTCTCCCTCTCCTCTCGCCCTCTCAACCCCCAATCCCTGCCAGAACGCCTCAGTGCCGCATCGCTGGTTCTCCCACTTCTACATGGTCGGATTCGTCTTCAACCTCCTGCTCCTCGCCCTCCCCCTCACTGCTCCCTCCCCACTGACCGCATTCCTCAACACTGAAAGTTACAGCTCCAGTGCCAGAAACAGTGGCGGTGACAGCAGCAGCAGCAGCAGCAGCAGCAGCAGCAGCAGCAGCAGCAGCAGCAGCAGCACTACCAGCAGCAGCACCGTTTCAAGCACACCTACCACCAACCCTGGCACAGCTACCGCCACAGGCACCAGCAGCGCTCAGCCCTTGGAGCTTCTGCTGCAGCAAGCACCTCTCCAGTCGCTCCTCTTCCAGCTGCACCTCGCCAGACGGCTCTGGGAGTCCACTGCTCTTGCCGCCTCCTCAACCTCCTCCCGTATGCACGTCTCAGCTTACCTGCTAGGCCTCTGGTGAGTGTAATGTAGACACTAGTGTAGACCTCCCCATACGCCCGCTTCTGCTTCAGCAAGTGCCTCTCCAGATGGCTCTGGGAGTCCACTGCTCTTGCCGCCTCCTCAAACTCCTCTCACATGCATGTGTCGGTTTACCTCCTCCGCCTTTGGTGAGATGAATGCAGTTCAGTGCTGGCAGTGCTGGCAGGCAGTGCTGGCAGTGCTGGCAATGCTGGCAGTGCTGGCAGTGCTGGCAGTACTGGCAGTGGTGACAGTGCTGGCAGTGCTGGCAGTGCTGACAATGCTGGCAGTGCTGACAATGCTGGCAGTGCTGGCAGTGCTGACAATGCTGGCAGTGCTGACAATGCTGGCAGTGCTGGCAGTGCTGACAATGCTGGCAGTGCTGACAATGCTGGCAGTGCTGACAATGCTGGCAGTGCTGGCAGTGCTGGCAGTGCTGACAATGCTGGCAGTGCTGGCAGTGCTGACAATGCTGGCAGTGCTGGCAGTGCTGACAATGCTGGCAGTGCTGGCAGTGCTGACAATGCTGGCAGTGCTGGCAGTGCTGGCAGTGCTGGCAGTGCTGACAATGCTGGCAGTGCTGACAATGCTGGCAGTGCTGACAATGCTGGCAGGCAGTGCTGGCAGTGCTGGCTGGCAGTGCTGGCAGTGCTGGCAGTGCTGGCAGTGCTGACAATGCTGGCAGGCAGTGCTGGCAGTGCTGGCAGTGCTGGCTGGCAGTGCTGGCAGTGCTGGCAGGCAGTGCTGGCAAGTGCTGACAATGCTGACAGGCAGTGCTGGCAGTGCTGACAATGCTGACAGGCAGTGCTGGCAGTGCTGGCAGTGCTGGCAGTGCTGGCAGTGCTGGCAATGCTGGCAGGCAGTGCTGGCAGTGCTGGCAGTGCTGGCAGGCAGTGCTGGCAAGTGCTGACAATGCTGACAGGCAGTGCTGGCAGTGCTGACAATGCTGGCTGGCAGTGCTGGCAGTGCTGACAATGCTGGCAGGCAGTGCTGGCAGTGCTGGCAGTGCTGGCTGGCAGTGCTGGCAGTGCTGGCAGGCAGTGCTGGCAAGTGCTGACAATGCTGACAGGCAGTGCTGGCAGTGCTGACAATGCTGACAGGCAGTGCTGGCAGTGCTGGCAATGCTGGCAGGCAGTGCTGGCAGTGCTGACAATGCTGGCAGGCAGTGCTGGCAGTGCTGACAATGCTGGCAGGCAGTGCTGGCAGTGCTGGCAGTGCTGGCAATGCTGGCAGTGCTGGCAGTGCTGGCAGTGCTGGCAGTGCTGGAAGTGCTGGCAATGCTGGCAGTGCTGGCAGTGCTGGCAGTGCTGGCAGTGCTGGCAGTGCTGGCAGTGCTGGCAGTGCTGGCAATGCTGGCAGTGCTGGCAGTGCTGGCAGTGCTGGCAGTGCTAGCAGTGCTGGCTGTGCTGACAGTGCTGGCAGTGCTAGCAGTGCTGGCAGTGCTGGCAAAGCTGGCAGTGCTGGCAGTGCTGGCAGTGCTGGCAATGCTGGCAGCTACAATATAGTAGCTCCAGGTCACATAAGCACATGCCAGTATCCCCCCCCTTCCCCCCCCCCCCCCAATCACCAGCCACTGCATTGCTGCTCATCTTTGCTTCTTCCTCATTGGTCGTCCCGCCATGACCCCAACTCTCTCATCATCATCCTTCCGCCCCCTTCCTCTACCGCCTTTTCCCATCCGTCTCCCCCCCTCTCCTCTCCCCTCCTCTCCCCTCCTCTCCCCTCCTCTCCCCTCCTCTCCCTCCCATACCAGCTACTACCTCGCTGCTCCCCTCTCCTTCTTCCTTGTCGGTCGCCCTGCCACGCCCTCGCATCCATCTTCTCCATCTGCTACTGACGTCATCGGCATAGCATGCATGGTTGCTGGTGCAGCAGTGTTCGCATGGGGCAATCTTCACCAGTACCGCTGCCATGTAATCCTGGTAAGAGGAAGACTATGCAGTCCTGGCAAGAGGAAGACCATGCAGTCCTGGTAAGAGAAAGACTACGCAGTCTTGGTGAGCCACATTCAGAGCCCCCCCTCAGGACCTGGTGCAGCAGTGTTGACATGGGGCAATCTTCGCCTGTAGCCGCGCTTTGACTTTTTGGCACGCCACATCATGAAGTGCGTCAAGATCCATTGAGCATTCGCATGGGGCGATCTTTCACGAGTGTGGCTGCCATCGATGCCATCTTGGTAGTCCTCTCCTTGCATTTTCCTAAGCCACACTGTAGGTGATTTTTGAGTCGACTAAAAAATCACTGTCGGTATGCGTTGCTGAGTCTTGCAGCATGCCTCTTGCGCTTTCCTATTTTTTCTGTCTCACGTCTGGTCCCGCCGTCCCTCTCGTGCTCGGCATGTCTCTCCTGTTCCGCGCTCTCACCCTATGTTGCTCCGTTCCCACACGTCTCGTCCTCCCCTCCTCCCGTCGCCTCCTCCGTCCTCCCTTGTTGTCGCGCCTCCCCCTCTCTCTGACTACCTTTGTGCAGCTCGTCCTTTTGTTCCTCGGGTCCTTGCCTCTCTGGTTATCGACCCGTCTGTTCCTATTTCGCGTCTTGACGCTCTCGTCGCTGCAGTCACTGACTTCGCCTCTACCCGCCGCCTTGACTACGCCACCGCTCTGGTCTCTGACCCTGCTCGTCCTCCGTCCGTCGGGGGTGCTCCTGCCCTCGGCAGTGACGTCCTGGAGGACCGGCAGTACGAGCTTGCTTTCCTGTCCGAGGCTGCTCCCCATCTCTGTTCCATCCTGCTAGTCCATGAGGGTGACCCAGACGATTTCGACATCCCGACCCCTCACACCTACGCTAGTCCATGAGGCGATCTCGGGACCCTGGGCCTCTGAGTGGATAGCTGCCATGGAGCAAGAGATGGCATCTTGGAGATCCACCTGCACCTACGTCGACGCAGTTCCCCCACCCCTTGGCGCAAATCAGTACGAAAATGTTTTTCTTTCTTTCTTTCTTTCTCTCTTTTCTTTTATCAAAGGGACGGGTTCTTTTGCGTAACTTGCTCACACTATCCCCTCCTTTTCCCTCCAATTCCCTCCTCTCCCTCTCTCCCTCCACTCTTCTCCTGGCCAGCTTGAGGCAGGGCGGTAAAAAGAATTACTTAATTCCTCAAAAGGGCAGGTTCTCTTATGTCTCGTGCCATTGCTATCATATCCCCCTCCCTCCCATCCCCTTCCCTCCTCTCTCTCCCTCCTCCTTCTCTTCTCCAGGCCAGCTTGAGAAAAGGAGGTAAAAAAGGCTACTTCATTCCACAAGGGGATTGGTTCGCTTATGTCTCGTGCCCACACTACTTAGCAGAAATTGTAAGTGCTACTTATACTGCCGCCCTTTCCAGAGTCAGTCTTCTGCTCGTGTTAACTTCTCTTGTGCTCCGTTGTGGCCAGTCTCCGTTTTTTGTATCAGCCTTTAGTCACCGTAGCCATTCTTCTGCATTTGGTGGTTACTCTCTCTTCTCACTTCTCTCTTCTCTCTTCTCGCTTCTCTCAAGTGTCGCGTTTGTGTTTGTATCAGCAGTGTGTTCCAGAGCGGTACATCACCAACGCAAACACACTGGAACAGTAAACACACTGTTCCAATTCTTGGAAAACACTGCGTTGGTGTTCCAGAGTGGTACATCACCAACGCCAATCTTTTGCACCTGTCCTCACTCTTTGTCTCTTTCCTCTTTGTCTCCTTGTTTTCTCCTCTCTCTCCTCTTTGTCTCCTGCCACCAGGTGGTTTACTTCGGCTTGCTCCTATCACTCGGACCTCAAATGCTTGATTGCACCCTCCTGCTCATGTTTGCCTGGGTGGTAAGTAAAGCCACGATTAAGTTCGGGTGTTGTGAAATATGCTGTTCCGATTTGATCTCTGAGTTGGGTGGTAAGCAAGCACACTCCTGCCCGTGCCTGCATGGCTGGTAGGTACCACATCATGTTCCTCATCTGTTTGATGTGGTACCTACCAGCCATGCAGGCATGGGTAGGAGTGTGCTTGCTTGCTACCTGTGCCCGTGCCTGCATGGCTGCTCTTCCTTTTTCCCCCTCTCAGTCACACTCAGCCTTTCTCGTTCTTCACTTTCCACCATGCATGTTCCCCCCCGGCCTTCCAGGTTTCCAACCTCGCACTATCAGCTCTAGAAACACATGAGCGCTACCTGATGAAATTTCCTGACTATCCCAGACACAGATTGGCTATACTGCCATATGTACTGTAGCAGTCTGCAAGCATGCATGCATGCTTGCTGTGCGATTTGCTGTCAAGTATTTTTAGTTGTGATCATACCAGTGGCTTGCCCTACTGTGGGAGGCAGGGGGCTTCTAACTGAACCTTCGCCTTATTGCCACATGATGATTGGGAAAAGCTCAAACCAGGCAGCGATGGTTGTTGAACTTGGAACAAGTTTAAACACATTCTATAGACAAGCGGGTCCTAGTAGTAGAAAATCAGAAATGGAGATACATACGACTGGAGCGGTGGGATCGATGGGGGTGGTGGAGATGGATTTGGATGAAATGGGCGGTGGGTGGAAGAATGGGCAGCGGACAGATGTTGGGTATCATGTTCCTATATCCTGAGCACAAAACAGCCCTATGTAAGTTCTTCCGAGACCTTATCAATGGACCACAGCCTTTGCTGCTGAAAGTCACATTCCCGAACCAATTGTCGTCTCAACAATGATCCGTCTTCCACGCAGAATGTTCCCGAGGAATTTCCCATCCGTTGAATTTCCAGCGAGCCAATCAGTGGTGGTGGCCTGGGATACCTCCGGGGCCAACCACCTTGAGCTGCAACCAACAAAGGCAGCATAACGAGATAGACAAAAACGGGTTATGAGTGCTCCTCACAATGACATTGCAATTTGCCAACCAGACAATCAGAGGGGGTGGCCTGGGAGACCACCTGGACCCACAACCTTCACCTGCATGCAACAAAGGCAAGGCAGTGTTCTGGCGACACTATAACGAGTATAAGAAAACGCTTCAAACGGATTCCTCTCCTCAGCAACTGGAGAATGAGGCTCTGCACCTCTCTCTGAGCCCGTGTGTGCGAAGTGTCTGCCTCTGTTTCTCACCTTGAAGACTTGGCTGCAGACGCTGCAGGAGTGGTTGGAGTCCTTGGAGAGCTTGAACCAAACTACATCGTGCTCCTCCTCTGACATAAGGTAACAGGGAGGAAAAGGAAAATGGAGGAAAGGAAAACGGGAAGGGAGGGATGGAAGGAGGATCAGAATCGATTTGGCGAGACGCAGGGATGCGCGTAGAGGGAAGGACGGGGTCAAAACATGTGAAGAAAGAAGCATGATGGAAGTGTCCCTACGTAAGGCATCTGCTTCACAACAATAATCAAGCCACGATGGCTCGATGGACGACCGCACAGCATCTAAAAGCACGAATGTGTTACACGGCTGATGCCAGAAACAGCAGCGCGTAAACACACGCAGGTGCCCTAAATTGGCAGTGGCTTTCAAATCTGACGGCACTCACCACCAACACCGCCAGAGCAGCCTACGAGACGCTCATCGAACTGAGCGCCCACAATGGCGAGACCTGGTTACGTTTGAGGCCGCACCGGTGCTCTAGAACGGCAGTGCCTGACATCTGACATCTGACTGCACTCACCGCCGACGCCACCAGAGCAGCCTACGAGACGCTCGTCGAACTGAGCCTCCACAATGGCGGGAGCATCCTGAATAATTAACAGAAGGGACGCGGATTGCAGCGAGATAGAGACGTGCAGGAGCATCGTGAGAGAAAAAAGGAAATAAAAAGGAATACGATCTGACTTTTGAGTCGACTCAAAAATACGATCCCTGGCAGCAATCATGGCGAGACGTGCAAAAGAATCGCAAGGGTGACAAGGTGTGAAAAAATCCTCCAGATTTCATACAGCCCAACGCGCAAGGCTACACTTGTTATCAGAGGAGCAAATGGCGCCTTGTTTCTTAATGGACAAAAAAAACGGTGAACAAGGGGCCTGCCTCAAAAGCAGACTCAAAAGCAGAAAATGGGGCCTCTACCTCTGTTCCGAAGGGTCCACGAGGAGGCTCCAGCTCAAAGCGCTCCTTCCCCTGAAGTGAAAAGAAAGGGCTTGCAAGAGTGAGTGCGTGCTAGGCGAAAAAGAAAAGAAGGAAGACCAGAGCTAACTCGGCAAGATCTGAGTCCACGGTGCACTGCTCAAGTTTCAGAATAAGAGACCATGGAAAGAAGAATGGAGAGGTTGTCGTATGACGGTGAGAACGCATGAGTGGGAAAGAAAATGCAAGAAAAGAAATCCAGAACTGGTTAGTATCTGATTAGCTTGCCGCACCTCCAGCTCAGCAGCCAGCTCCTACCGCGTAAAAAAATGTTCATTTCTCACACTAGGTCGTAACTGAAGTATTTCTTATCAAATGGAATAATAGTGGTGTACCTCCAGCTCAGCAGCCAGCTCCTCCCTCTCGAGTCCGGTAGCATGCTCCAGCTCATCCGATACATCCTTAGTAGCCACTGCATTCCATGGATCCGGCCAGATTTTTAGGAGGGGAAAAAATGAATGAGATCCATGCATTAGTCTAGTCGTACGCCATGGTGGTTCGACTAGCACTAATTAATAAACAGTTAAAAAGCCCGAACTAAGAACTGGCCACATAGATTTTTGTTTCTTTCACCCCGTACCTAACCCTAACCTCCGGGGAAGGCACACGGAGGGCGAAGGGGGTCTGATCGAACGAGCGCCAAACCTAAAAGTATGTAGTACCCAAGCCTAAGAGAATTAAACAATCTACCAGATAGATCTTTCTAGATCCTAACCTGCGGGAGAGGCAGCGCGGAGGGCGAAGGGGGTCTGGGAAAGCCAGCCGCTGTGAACGAGCCTGTCTGTGACGCTCCGGCCAGCAGCAGCCGGCGCACTCTCCGCAATGAGGCTATTCCATGCGGGGAGTGCGGCGGAGCGGCTGCGCTGGAGCGATTGGCGCGCGACCAGCGACAGGCGAGCTCCAGCTTGCCTCCACATAGCTATTAATCTGCAGAGGTAACTGCGAGGGTTGGACAAAGCGCTACGGCGTGTGTAGGAGCACGCAGCCGCAGGCGGCTTCGGTCCAGCCGGCTGTTCAAGCTACAAGAAAGGCTTAGCCTTCAAGAAGCAAGAAGCTGGCTATCTCAGCAGAGCTAAGAAATACAGGAACCACAGGAGGTGGGAGCTTCCAAGATAATCTGCTGTTGAAGAAACAGTAGGAATGGCTGGGGGTACAGAAAGGGAAAGGGGAAGGGGGAGATGGGGGGGAGAAGGGGAGGGCGAAAGGGGAGGGGAGAGAGGGGGGGGGTGTGGAGAAGGGGGTGAGGTAAGGGGGAGGCTGAAGGTTTGCGGGAGGTGTGGGAGTTGGGGTGGGGGAGGAAGTTGTCACAGCGATTTTGAGGGGAGAAAAGAGGGGGAAGGGAAGGGTAAAGAGGGGCGGAGCGGAGGATGTTGGGGAGAGGAAGGATATGGGGGAGAGATCAACGGGGAAGCTCAGTTTGAGCTGGGAAGGGGCGGAGGGAGAAGAGGGTTGAAGGGGACGGGGAGCGGTTTGCTACGGTGCACTGTGGCTGGAGAGACGGCGATGGCTGATGGAGGTGAAGCCGCTTGTAGCGGAAACCTTTGTGGCACCTGTGCGTCAGGAGTGGCAGGAAAAGGTGCGCCCGGAAATCCTTTTGCTTCGTTATTGGCATGCTTCCCGAAACCACCAACTTCCGTTGGTTTGGTGAACAGTGAACAAGCGTATGTGTCTCATTGTGAGCAAATAGAAATCAGTTCCGGTACGTTTGGACGATTTTGTGGGCTCGCAGCCAATCGCTGGAGCGTCAGTGGCAGGCCGGTGCCATGCGAGCCACATGCAAGCTCGTGCCTGACGTTGGGGAGTAAATACGCGTTACTAAATTCCTCTTTACACACTACAAGTAAAAACTGTTCGTCTGACATTGCTACACACTCCAGAATACACCCCACATCAGCAAACGCTGTAGAACCCGATAATGTGTCAGAGCCATCCAAAGGGCGACACGCGGCAGGTGCGAGTCCACTGGAAGATCTCAAGGGTTGGAAACTATGAGTGGCTGTCAATGAAACACGGCAACATCTAGGCCTGCCGAGTCACATCGCTCCACAAGACTCGACTTCGCATTGATTGATCCTGCAGAGCTATCAACGTGGAATTGAGAATTTGAATCTCAAATTACCAGTAGAGAGCAAACCAACACCAGAAGAAAACAATATCATGCTGGACACTTTGCTTCACTGAAGACAGAGCAAAGCGTCTGACGCTCGTAAGCTGGCTTGTTCCTTGAACGGTTCCATAGCTTGACGATTCGTAGCACGGTTGAAGGTGCCATGGCCGCCGTGCGCGCTGCCTGCTCCGCTGCAACAGCCGCAGCAACCGCAGTCAGTGCGACCGAATGCCACGTGTTCAGGCCAGCTGGCACTGCCGTCACGTCAGCACCAGCTTCAGTACTCCGGTCGTCGCTCTTTGCGCGTTCTCCTGCATTAATTAACCACCGTCACGGCGCCGTAGCCGTCGTGCAGCTGCCGCGTCAGTCACGCCGTCAGCCTCGCGGCATTTGCGTCGTGCGTGCCAGCAGCGCTGGGAGCTCTGACAATGCAACCACGGAAAGCTCCGGGTTTTTCGGATGGCTGAAGATGCCGATTCTGGATGGACTGTTCGGGAAGAAGGGCGAGACAGAGGTGAAGCCGAGCACGGAGATAGAGACGGAGGGAGCTCCGGAAGAGAGCCTGCCTGAACCGGAGCCTGAAGTAGTCAAGGAAGGTGAGTTGGTGCTCATATATGGAAAAGGCTAGGACAACCATAGAAACTGACCTTTGAGTCGACTCAGAAGTCATGTCGGAGCCGGAGGCCGAAGTCGTCAAGGAAGGCGAATTGTTGTATAAGTAAGGAGAAAGCAAGGAGAAAAGCAGAAAGTGTTGAGCGTTTAGCTGGGTGTAGTTTCCTCACGTCCTCTCTCCTTCCTTCTAGAGCCTCCGGAGGAGCTGGACGTGGTGATAGTGGGAGCCGGTCTGGCAGGCCTGCGAGCAGCAGTGCCACTGCAGGAAGAAGGAATGGCGTGTGTGGTGCTAGAGGCATTGGGTGTTGGGCCTTACATCCCCTCCCTCTCTCTCACTTTCTCCCTTTCCTCTCTCAGAGCCCCCCGAGGAGCTGGACGTGGTGATAGTGGGAGCGGGACTGGCAGGCCTGCGAGCAGCAGTGGCGCTGCAGGGAGCAGGGGTGCCGTGTGTGGTGCTGGAGGCATCAGACGGTGTGGGAGGCAGGGTGCGCACGGACAACGTGGATGGGTTTCTGCTGGACCGGGGATTCCAGATCTTCCTCTCAGGTATGCTATGGGAAGTATGCCTGTATGCCTGTATGCGTGCGTGTATCTGTGCGTGTCCCTTAGTCTCATCCGCTCCCCTGCCCCTCCCCTCCAGCCTACCCCGAGGCACAGCAGATTCTTGACTACGAGGCGTTGGATCTTAGGCCCTTCTACTCGGGCGCTCTAGTTGTCCCACCCACCCACCCTACTGCTCCCTTTCTGCCGACCCCTATTGCACTCTCCCTGCCTTAACTTCCTCTTTTCCCTGTTGTTCCTCCAGCCTACCCCGAGGCACAGCAGATTCTTGACTACGAGGCATTGGACCTCAAGCCCTTCTACTCTGGCGCTCTCGTGTGGTTCGGAGGCTCCTTCCACAGGTGAGGGGAGGCAAGGGGTTATTGAGGGAATATCACAGGTAAGGGGTCAACACCGGTAACGGGTCAGCACCGGTAACATGTCAGCACCAGTAACGGGTCCGCACAGGTGGAATGGGCCTGCCTCATATCCCAATTTGGCCTCAAGCCCTTCTACTCGGGCGCTCTCGTGTGGTTCGGAGGTTCCTTCCACAGGAATGGGCCTCTGTGCTCACAGAGAGTTTACTTCTGCCCTCCCCATTCCGCCCTCCCCATTCCTCCCTCCCCATTCCTCCCTATTCCGCCCTCCCCATTCCTCCCTAGTCCTCCCCTCCTACCAGGGTAGCAGACCCCTTCCGCCACCCATCTGACGGGCTGGGCTCACTCTTCAACCTTATCGATTTGTCCGTGTTACCTCGATTCCTGACCCCACTTCCTTTTCTGCCACTTCCGCCCCATGCTCCCAGGGTAGCAGACCCCTTCCGCCACACATCAGACGGGCTGGGCTCTCTCTTCAACCCCGTCGGGTCTGTCTTTGATAAAGTGCGAGTGGGGCTGCTGCGGCTGAAAGCGGTGTCTACACCTGTAGCGGACATTCTCAAGGCGCCGGAGAGCAGCATTGAGGAAGCTTTGAGGAAGCAGGGCTTCTCCACTGAGGTATGGGGGGAGCTTGGTCCTGGGTCTGTACTACTGTGGCTGAAAGCCGTGTCCACACCTGTAGGGGACATACTGAAAGCGCTGGAGAGCAGCATTGAAGATGCGCTGAGGAAGCAGGGCTTCTCCACTGAGGTACGAGTGCGGGGCCTTGGGCTTGCAGGCAAACCCCATTGGTGCTGGGACCTCTGTCTTTGACAAAGTTCGAGTGGGGCTGCTGTGGCTGAAAGCCGTGTCCACCCCTGTAGGGGACATACTGAAAGCGCTGGAGAGCAGCACTGAAGATGCGCTGAGGAGGAAGCCAGGCTTCTCCACTGAGGTGCGCGTTTTTCAGAGTCGGCTGATTGCAGAGAGGAGGAGGATTCCGATGAGCAGTTTCAGTTCGTGAGTAGTATCAAGAACCCATAAAGGCATGGGACGATACCCATGGGCACTGAAGAGGCGCCTCGCAAAGGCATGGGACGATACCATGCCATTGACTCAGTCAAGCAAGAGTTCTCCACTGAGGTTTGGCGGGGCGGTCCACCCTCCCTCCCTCCCTCCCTACACCCTCTGCATCTCTGCTACCAGCTTCCCCCTCACCAACCCCATCTGGGGCTGACTGGACAGGGCTAGAGAGGCGCGGATGCAACTGAATGCTCTGCCCATGCCCCTGGAGAGGTGCTGGGGAGAAGCATAGCATGGAAGAGGTGCTGGTGGTGCTGGCGGTGCCGGTGGTGCTGGTGGTGCCAGTGGTGCCAGTGGTGCCAGTGGTGCCAGTGGTGCTGGTGGTGCTGGTGGTGCTGGTGGTGCTGGTGGTGCTGGTGGTGCTGGTGGTTCCGGTGGTGCTGGTGGTTCCGGTGGTGCCGGTGGTGCTGGTGATGATGGTGGTGCTGGTGGTGCTGGTCAAACAAGGCCTTTTTGCTGAATTTGCTTTGCTCCCACCTGACCCCCGGCTCCTCTTGCTTGCTTGCCTTGGTTTTTCTTCAATCTGTTGCCCCATTGAAGGGTTGATCGATTGATTCTTCTGTCCGTTTCTTGGAGGGTTGATCTCTGACAACGAGCCAAGCACCCAAGTCTCTCGCTATACGCGCTGCATGTCCCCCTTGTCTCCCACCTGTCCTCTTCTTCCCCACTCAATCCCATGCCAGATGATCGACGGCTTCTTCCGTCCGTTCCTTGGAGGGATTTTCAACGAGCTCAGCACCCAATCCTCTCGCCACTCACACTGCCTATTTCCCATCTTCCCCCACCTGACCTGGCCTCTTCCTCCTTCTGCACTGGTCGCCCCATGCCAGATGATCGACCGCTTCTTCCGTCCGTTCCTTGGAGGGATCTTCTTTGATAACGAGCTCACCACTTCCTCCAGGTGCATTCTTGCAGCCCCACTTGCTTACGCTTGTTTGTATTCCTTCTTTTGAGACCCTTCTCTCGTTTCACCCCACTGTCTTACTCGCTAACGAGCTCAGCACCTCCTCCTCCAGGTGCACTCTTGCAGCCATGCCCTTCTCTTACTATTCATGTCTCCTCCTATGCCACTTGAAGCCATGTCATTGTCCCCAACACCCTTCCATCATCCGGCATCGGAGCCCTTACCTCTCACCTCGCGTCTTGCCTCTCACATAACCCACTGCCCTCGTACCCGTTTCCCTACTTTCATCTTCCCTCCCCCTGTCCTCCTCCCTCACCTTTTCCCTCCCCAAAATAGTTAATGGAACCCGCACTTCGCATGCTCCCCTTGCGCCCAACACCCCCCTGGCGTGCTCTTCCAGTCCACTCAAAGTGCACCCTACCTTCCTCCCTCCCTCCCTCCCGCCCTCCCTCCCTCCCTCTCACAGGCTCATGGAGTTTGTCCTTCGAATGCTGGCCCTGGCGCCCAACACCCTCCCATCATCCAGCATCGGAGCCCTGGCCTCTCAGCTCGCCTCTCGCCTCCCCCCCGACTCCATCTGCCTCAACTCCCCTGTCTCCTCCATCACCCCTGTCTCAATTCCCCAGTCTCAACTCCTCTGTCTCCCCTGTTGCCCCTCTCCTCCATCACTGTCTCCCTTCCCCATACAGGTTGATGGAGTTTGTCTTGCGCATGCTGGCCCTGGCGCCCAACACCCTCCCATCATCCGGCATCGGAGCCCTGGCCTCTCAGCTCGCCGCCCGCCTCCCCCCCGACTCCATTCGCCTCAACTCCCCTGTCTCCTCCATCGTCCCTGCTCCTGTAAACGAGGGGGAAACCGGTAGTACCACAGGCTCGGCAACAAGTTCGGATGATGGTGCAGGCTCGGTGGGGACAGGTACGGGTGTGCCGAGCCTGCTGACACTGGGGGATGGGAAGAGGATTCTGGCTAAGGGAGGGGTGATTGTGGCTGTGGAGCAGCCCTTGGCTCTGAGGCTTCTAGGGGAGGGAGGTGAATCCAAGGCTGAGTCGGAGAGCAGCGGCAGCACTGCCACTACGACCATTCAAGATCCCCGCAGCACTGTCTGTCTCTACTTTGCATCAGACTCCCCACCCCCTGTCGCCGAGCCCATCCTCTTTTTAAACGGGTCCGGTAGCGGCATAGTCAACAACATCTGCTTCCCCAGTGTGGTGTCTCCCTCCTACGCTCCACCCGGCAAGACACTTGTCTCTGTCTCTCTTGTCGGTGCCTATGAGGGCCGGACCGAGGCTGAGCTCGAGGCTCGGGTCCGTACGGAGCTGGCGGGTTGGTTTGGGAAAGAGGAAGTGGAGACTTGGAAGATGCTCCGAGTCTACAGGATTCCGTTTGCCCAACCAGGGCAAAGGCCCCCAACGGATTTCTCTGGGAGTGTGGAGGTGGGGGGAAGGGAGGGAGTGTATGTGTGTGGGGACCACAGGAGCTCCCCCACTTTTGATGGAGCACTGGCGTCTGGTAGAAAGGCAGCAGAAGCTTTGCTTGCTCAAAGAGCATGACCATGCAGGTGTTTAAGTTATTGACTGAAGGCACATAAGTATGGATCATAAGGAGGAGGGTTTTGGCGGATTCAGCAGCATAACAATTTCATGCTGGATGGCTGAGCATGCCAGTACAGAGGTCAATTTATCACAATAAACGCCTTGTCGTACACATGACAGAGTAAGGTGACGAACTAAGACTTGGCGTTAGTTTGAAATGAAGACAGGATACGTATTGAGCATAGTAACCAGAGTTTGACAAATTACAAACGGTAAGCGTGACGTGACTGCTTAGGGTTGTGCCACCCTCTGTAGCGGGGAGATTTTGTGTGACATTGTGAACCACTTATTGGCTGCGTTTGGTGTCATCTGCTGATTTATTGGTGTCATTTCCATGACAGCAGTCGTAAGGCGTCGCCGATTCCATCGCTACCGAGCGAGCAAATTGGTGCGCATATTCCGTGAATGGAATCCCAAATCAGCGGCACAAACTGCTCACCTCGCGGTCCGTAAACAGCAACAGACCCCAAAGTTCCCTCGTCGCCGCCAAACACGTGTACAGTGGCGGTCTTGTCATTGGATGGGAAGTGCTGGACAGGGCAGCAGGGAGGGAAAACTGTGTGTGAAAACCTGTGTGTGGGGATGCTTGCGAGAAGGGAATTGTGAGAAAGGGAGGGGATGCCACTGAGAAAATGGGGGTTTGTGTGTGGGAGTGGGGAAGTGATCGAATTCTCCCATGCCAGTGGGCGTGGCTCGGGCAATCGAAAACTCCAGTTGAGCGCGCCATGGTCTCGTGTTGGTGACCAGATGCGCCCTGACAAAGGTCACCGTCACCCTGCTGAGGGAAATATTTTCCCTGCCCGTCACGCCCTGTGTTCGGGCGTCCGCTGACGTGTGCCGCATCAGCATTAGCCCGGCGCCTCGTCACGGGCGGGCAGGCGGGTCGCAGAAACTTGAATTCCCTGGTGCAGGTCTCCAGGGGTGAGATTGGATGGGATGGGATTTCTGCGATTAGGGAAGAAGATGTTCCCAGAAGGGTCCCAAGGTTTTCGAGAGAATTACAGAACGGTTCAGTGCGCTCCTCTTGGTAAACTTCCTCGTTCACGCTCTCTAATCCGCTCAGAACGGTTTAGTGCGTTCCTGCTATGCTGCTGTCACTTGACTGCATTATTCGCGTGGATATTCCTTACTTTCATGGTGTGGTGGCAGTAGCGGTGGTGGTGGCCTGTCATAATTCATCGTTCCGACTTTCACGATTCTCCATCCTAGTTTTTCGGCTCATCAGTTCCGGAATTAGTAGTTTCCCGCTCCGTTGAACTGACACACTCCCTGTGCCGCATTGGGTTCAGTGTCTTCGCCGACTGCACATACTGATACCGCTGTCTTCGCCCTGAAAACATATTAGTTACTCTTTCTGCAAGTAGATTGATCTCCGTGACTCTAGTCCCGCATGCTCGTCTGCCACACGCCGCAACTCTTGTCGTAAAATCTCGAACTCAGAAAGAGCTTGACCCCCTTAGTCTCCACGTCCGCCTACAGCTAGATCACGAGCCTTACCTGCCAGCAACGCCGTCTCTGTCGACTCTTAGTTATAATACCTTGGACGATCGCCGGTCGAACCATGGAATTATCTCGGGCCTCTTCTCTACTCGTAGCAATTGCAGCGCTCCTGAGCTGCAGGCTCTCCAAGGCGCAACCCGCAGTGTCATTTCCGGACCACACAAGAATGTTACAATCCACACTTTCTACAGTATCACTTTCGGACCACTCAGGGTTGCAATCTACAGTGTCACTTCAGGACCATACAGGGGTGTTGATGCCTGGCGGCTACGTCATCGTGGACCCACGGAGTGCTGAGGTGGCACAGATTGCGGAATTCGTGGTCGCTGACATGAATGCCAAGATGGTGAGCACGACCCTCCTCTCTCCGTCCCTTTCACCTCGCTGACCATCTCCGTTCCTACCCTTCCGCCTTCCAGCCTCCTCTAGTTTCAGGCTGTCGATTTCTATCCTTCTCACTCCGTCATTATGCCGTCAGCCTGTTCTCAATTCTCTCTCGTCCTGCTCCCCCCTTTCTATTTCCCCGCCATCAGGACGCAGCCGTGCATTTAGAGATTGTCAACGCTGCGGAAAAGCACGCTTCGATCGGTCACAGCGCGACGGGTTACTCCTCCCAGGGTTACAGCTACGACGTTGTTTTCACGTCCACTGCGACCACCCACGACACGCACCCGCACTCGCAGAGCCGTAAAGCGAGCGTCGCGGAGCGGTGGTCGAAACTGGTTACCAGCCAGTACGAAGCCGTGGTGCTGAAATCATTACAAAACTCGTTAACGATCAGCTCAGTAGTGAAGCTATCGAGTCAAGCGCCGGTGTTTATACCTTTCGCGGAGGATGCTACAAGCCATCAGGGCGTGAATATTGCTACTCGAGGTGACAGTGTGCGGGAGAATGAGACTATATCGGGGTGCAAAGATGGAGCCGCCAGGGAGACGACACTATAACGGGGACGGCACTCGGATGGGATCTGAGGGATGCTGCTGTAGAGGGACGGAATAACTGAATGTCTATACCGGGAAGTGGGAATGTTTTTCCCCCTTCTCTCCCCTTTTTCTCCTTACATACACACAGGAGCTGTAAGTGGGCAGCGCTACATGTTTGAGCAATGCTGCTCTTCCTGGCCTTAGCTGTTGGCAGCAAAAGCTGCAACAGCCTTTCCTTAGCAGTATTTGTGTAGGTTGTATGATGCATAAGGCGTTGCCAATAGATTCCTGCTTGCAGCAGGTTATTTGTTTTCAGGTGTCCGCAGTGCTTCAGCTGAGTACTTTTCCTCTATGCACCAAGTGAAGGGTTGTGTACACAAACATCACAAACTAGGAAGGTAAAAGCAGCAATCATATTGTCAATCACATTGTTATTACAACATTGGCTTGTACCCTCTCAAACATCAAATATAAAGTGGCTAAGTTCATCATCTGTCATGTACTTGGGCATCTGATCCAGATCCACCTGAAAGTTGAACCCAATCCGCTTCATAGCCTCAGGCTCATTTAATGAATCCAGCTCCTGTGGCGACCCAATCACGGCTTTATTTGCATCACTCCCCTGCTTTAGCCTGGAAGCAGTAAGCGCCTCAGCAAAGGTAGGTCTGGTTGGTCCACCAACCCAGACGCCGAAGCTAGACGCACCACCCGAACCTGACCCCGAGCCTGAAGTGACCGCAAGTCCATGGGGGCTAATGGGCTTGGTGGTTGCCTTATCGGTTGGGCTCGTGCCGGCAGGTGAATTTCCAGGTGAAAACCGAGGTGAGGTGGTGGAAGACGGAGAGGGAGACGCAGCAGAGGAGGGGGAGAGGGAGGAGGTAAATGGGGATGAGAGGACAGAGGAGGAGACGGAGGAGGGGATGTCTGACAGGGACCTGCGTCGGTGGTGTGGCCGCTTAGGCACCTGCTGATAAGTTTGGGCAGCAGTGGGTAAGATCTCAACTGTTGGTGGGTGGAATGGGATGATGTCATAGGGTGGACGGAGGATTAAAGCCCCACTGCATGCTTTTGCAGCAGTGGGAGCAGTAGAGATGGTAGAGACAGCAGAACCTGCAGCAGCCGAAGTGGCAGCTGCAGCAGCTGCAGGTAGAATGGCAGACGTGCTGCTTGTAGGGATAAGTATGGAGCGTACACCCCCCCGTGTGGGTGATAACCGGCTTGTAGATCTTTGCCATGGAGAAATTGTGGTGTCTGGCTTATGTGGCGACGCAGAGTGAGAAGCAGGAGAGTGAGAAGAGTGAGAAGAGTGAGGAGAGTGAGGAGAAGGAGAGTGAGGAGAGTGAGGAGAGTGAGGAGAGTGAGGAGAAGGAGAGTGAGGAGAGTGAAAGGCAGGTGAGTGAGGAGAGTGAGGAGCAGGAGAGTGAGGAGAGTGAGGAGAGTGAGGAGAGTGAGAGGCAAGTGATGGAGGCGAGAGGGGGGAACGGCGGTTAACACCCCTCCGGCTGGTGGTAACAGTGCCCATAGCACCGGCTGTAGCCACCTGACGCCCATTTTTTACAGCTGCAGGTGGCGGCTGTAGCCTAGCATGGGATGAGTTGGGCGAGCGGAAAACCCAGGCGGGGCTGTCAGCGAATTGAACGCCCCAGAGAACGTATTCAGCACCAGCAGCAGCGGCGCCAGCAGCAGCAGCAGCGGCAGAAGAGCTAGTGGAGGCAGCAGAAGAGGGGGTCGTAGAAGCAGCAGCTGCAGGCGCTGGATTGGTCGCCGGGAAGAGGGAGCCAGGAACCGAAACAATGTCGATACTGCTGATGGAGATCTTGTTCAAGTCCTTGTGAGCTGCCATGCCTTGCACGTCTGTGGGACAGGGAAGGTTGGAAGCACGGGGAAAGGCGGCAGCGCAGGAGAGCAGATGAGGGGCAGGAGAGCGGATGAGGGGCAACCCCGCGGAAAGGGACGCAGCAGCAAACAGCTTCCCTTGAGCTTGTTTATTTCGATGGGCTCGCTCGCTCGGAACGGCAGAAACTTCAGACTCACCTTGAGACACACCTTGAGACACACCTTGAGGGAAAAAGCTCAAACGCACCTTCCATATTCAAGCAGACAGCGCGCCGATCATCGCTGGCAGCAAAGCAGGTGGCATCACCGCCACCACCACCGCCGCCGCCGCCGCCGCCGCCGCCGCAGCTCGCCGCGCCCTCTGGCGCTTCCGGATAAGGGGAGTTCTTCCAACCACTAGAACGGGAGTCTTTCGAGCCGCACAGCAGCGCCACGTCAGCGGATCCCAGCCGGTTCAGCCTGCCGTCGCCGGGACGGCTCGAGCCGGAGGCGACTCCGAGCGTCGGATTGACGGACAGAGATGGTCTCTGTCTGCTCGCGTTTCCAGTCGACTCAAAAGCCGTCGCGCGGCCCTGCGTCGGCGCTGTCGTCTTCGCCGTTGCCTCCCATGCGAGGAGTCCCGAGAGCGAAGCCGACAGAAAATGGGGTCTGCCGCCGCCGCCGCCGCCGCCGCCGCCGCCGGGGTCGCGCGTAGTACTACTAATACGACTACTACTGCTAGTGGCAGCAGTAAACTCCGCGATTGCTTCGGCCAAAGCCGTCGCGGCGGCGCTTCTTTGGCCCGAAGGCCGTTGCACTGCGTGCGTCGTCGCCGTTGCGTCACCGGCGTCGCCATTGCTCTGCGCCGCGCCGCGTGCGGCGGCAAAGTTAGCTGCGGACGAGCGCATTTGCCGGCGATGGATCTGCTTCTCGAGCGACGGAGCCGGCGCTAGAGTCGGCACACGTGGAATGGGCGCGGCGCGACTGGAGATCGCGAAATCTCCGCCGGTGACGGCAGCTGCGGTTGCGCAAAATGCGGCGGATTTTTCGCCGGCCATGACGGGTTCGGTGGAGATGAGCGCTGCTTGCGGCAAGCAGGAAACCATTTAATCTCCAAGTAGCGCAGGGTTTTGAAATGAGAGGCGGAAATCAGGAGCTTTAGCACTACCGCAAAAATATCGTTGGAAAAAGCGCTGGGACACGACTGTACAGAAAACATATATGGCGAAGAACGCCGTTCCTTTGGAGCGCGAGTGAGCGTTGTTGTTCCTTTTCGCGCGAGAGTCGCGCAAGCGTCGCCATGGATGTAATCCCACCGCAACACACACACAATGATGACAGCTCACGTGCCACCATGGGGCTGGGCACTCGGCAGCCATAGTCGACCGATCGAAACGTGGACGGGTGGTGGTTTGGGACTGTTACGTCATCGCTAGCTTGTGGCCCTAACAAGCGTGCGGACATTTGCGCGCTACAGTGGTAAGACTAGCTAGTGTAGATCTTGGGAATTATTATTATTGTCTGCCTGCCTGCCCCTTACCTATGGGGCCCAACTAATTTCCACCAACGCCTGCCTGCTTTTTGCCCACTAATTTTGATTCTGAGATTTGCATCCGCGGCCCACGCAAGCGCGTCGCGTCGCGATGAGCGGTATGGATATGGGCGGACGGACACGATGACGCCCGAACCAGCGAGATATTTTTCTTCGATATGGTTCGGGGAGTCCAGACCAGATTTGGCATCATGACAGCTGCATGGATTCGGTAGTGAGGTTTGGTGATACCCTGTAAGAGCGAGGCCAGGAGGGGAGAGAGCGAAAATTCAGAAACCCTGTAACTCGAATCGCGGGCTCGCTCATTCGTTTCCATTGAATTGAACTTTCGTTCCCCCCGAAGCACACAAACCAGCAAGATTCCTCCCATGGGCTCTGTCACCTCAGGTGAAAAGAGGGTTCGGTCAGGGCATCACCCAAAGCGAAAACCATTTCCCCCCACTAAAGCTCCTCAGATTCTCCCACCTGCCTGTCATCACCTGAATGTAGAGTGCCGTCCATTTTCAAAACGAAAAGCCGCGCAAACCGCTCAACGAGAATCTAATGGGTCGCCCAAATCCGCACCCTCACGGTGGCGAGGAACGACGAATACCCAACCGACACGCCCCTCACTTGGGCCGGAAAGTGAGAAGCGGCTAACTGGCAACTGGCAGAAGTGAGAAGTGGGGAACTGGCAGGCTAGCTGTTCATTTCCTGGCACTTTTTGACAGAGTTGACGATCGAAAAACACGCACTCCGTCAAATCGTTCGTGGCAGCTGGCTGTCCGGCATGAAAGTTTGACCACAGGTCAGGGAATCAAAGCGGATACTCTGTGACGTGGCGGCAGGATCAGAGTGATCGCACTTGCTTGCGTGCGTTACGAGTTGAGAGTGAGTTCGCCTTTCATAAGCTTTATGAGTGTAATAAATGACAGGAGTTTCCAATAATCACTTAGGAAAAGGGAACAAAATCGTTAGAGTTGATGGTCATTATGTAATTCCAATCTATGTCGATAAATTCCATGAAAAGCACATAACTTTCTGGCCCATTGATAGAGGAACCGTGCAATACATTCCTCGCTGCTACTGCTGCTACTGAGCTGATGTGGAGCACTTGCTTAATGCTGGTGCTCCTACTCCCTCCCCCACCCTGCCCTCCCTGCCCCCTGCTGCCCCTGCTCCCCCTACTCCAACTTCCTCCCCTCCACTCCCCCTCCCCTTCCACTCCCACAAAGCACTTCTATTGTGGCCGCGGTGGTGGTGGCGGCTGGTAACCACCAGGCCCAGCAGGGGGGGGAGGAGGAACAGCAGAGTACACCCCCCCTTGCTGCTGCTGCAGTGGTGGTGGTGGTGGTCTTGCTGCTCCTCCCCCTGCCCCTCCTGGCCCCCCCCCATGTGGTTGTGGCTGGTTGCTAGGGGGATACCCCCCATACACACTCCCATACCCCCCCTGCTGCTGTGGCGGAGGAGGGGGAGGCATGTACCCGCCTCCCCCCCCATACTGGCCCCCTTGCGGGGGAGGGGGAGGGGGAGCATACCCGCTTGGGGGGGGAGGCGGGGGCATGGAGGAGGGGGGAGGGGGAGGGGGCATGGAGGAAGGGTAGGAGGGCGGAGGGGGCGGGGGAGGGGCCGGTGGGGGGAGGGGGGCGGGAGGAGAGAGGAGGGGGAGGGGGGTGGGGGTGGGGGGGCATGGAGGAGGGGAGGAGATGTGCGTTGGGGTTGGTTGGGGCGACTGGTCGGGGCTTGAAGTAAAGCTGCAGCTGCAAGGGAGTGAAAGGAAGAAGGAAGAAGGAAGAAGGAAGAAAGTCCAGGGATACAAAAAGATCGGAGGGGAGCTTGATTGAATGGTAGCAACTGCTGCAGTCATTAAAAAGAACCAAAAGGGGGGGGGGGGGGGGGGGTGGGGTGTGTGTGGGGGGGGGGCGAGACATCCTAGACAGCACCAGAAGACAACAGTGTCTTAGTTTCTTTTGAGTCGACTCAAAATATCTTCCTGAAGCGCAGTAAGACACAGGAAGACATTCTAGACATTCTAGACACAGTTTCAAGGTGAAAACTACCCACTGTGAGTGTTGTAGAAACAGGAAGACATTCTAGACATTCTAGACACAGTTTCAAGGTGAAAACTACCCACTGTGAGTGTTGTAGAAACAGGAAGTTTCTAGGGGCGCTATTTGAAGAGATTGGAAAAAGCACATACAACAACGAGAACGTCTTGGTGTCAGGGTTCCAGTGCGAAAAGAACTTGGGAGGGCGGAAGCACGTTCTGTCGGTACTTTTGGCTGGTATGTACCGTGTTGACTGGTATCAGAGTTTTTACTGGAGCCTCAGACACCACTAACTGTGAACGTCTTGGTGTCAGGATTCCAGTGCGAAAAGAACTTGGAGGGGGGATGCACACTCTCTGTGTGAACGTGTTGTATTCGGATGTTTCAAGGAGTCTTTATCTTGAATTCTAAAGCCACTTACTGTGAACGTCTTGGTGTCTGGATTCCAGTGCGAAAAGAACTTGGAGGGAGTCTTGTCAATCTCTGTGCTGGGGATCTGTTGGCGGGACATGGGAGGAGGTGAAGAGAGAGGGTTGGGCAAGGCAGGGGGGGAGAGAGGGAATTGACACCACAGAAACGGATGCCAGAGGGGAAGTTGAGCGCCAGGATATCAGCAAGGAGGCGGCGAAACGAAGGGAGGGGAGGAAGAGGAGGGATGAGAGACTTGTGGTGATGTAGATGTATGCCGGGACAAGGTGGATGAGATGGGCAAAAAACAACTCTCTTAGCTCTGCTGCGCTTCCAGCCAAGAGCGACGAGAGACTTGTGGTGATGTAGATGTATGCTGGGACAATAATCTAGTTTTGAGGTAAGTTGGGGTAAGTTTTGAGGCATCTCAAGACTATATTATTATCACACGAAGGGGAGGGACGAGAATCTTGTGACGTGGATGTATGTATGCTGGGACAAGTTTTGAGGCGCCTCGAAACTGTATGCCGGGACAAGGTGGATAGGATGGGGAGAAAGGGGAGAGTGGACTAGGAAGAAGAGCGGGGAGAAGAGGAGGGGGGACGGGGGGACGGGGGGACGGGGGAGTGGGGGGGACGGGGGAGTGGGGGGAACGGGGGAGTGGGGGGAACGGGGGAGTGGGGGGAACGGGGGACGGGGGGACGGGGGAGTGGGGGGGAACGGGGGACGGGGGGACGGGGGAGTGGGGGAACGGGGGAGTGGGGGGAACGGGGGAGGGCTGAGGGGCTGAGGGGCTGATATGGAAGTGTGTGCAAGTAAGAGGTGAGGAAGAGGGAAGTTCGGATGTACCTTAAAAGAGATGATTTCGTAAGGCTCTGCTGCAAAGAGAAGGTACTGGAAGTTCTTATCCCACGACTCCACTCGCTGCAAAGGGGGGGAAGGGGGAAGCGCGGGAGGAGGATGGGGGATGGGGAAAGGGTCGGGGAAAGGGTCGGGGGAGGGGGTAAACAGGGGGCTGCTACACACAAAATGTGACCTCTATGTGAAATCCTCTTCCTCATACCTGCTCGCACGCGGACGTGAATCGGTGGCGTGGCTTGGCCCCATCCTCTATCTCGCTTGGGATACTCGAGTTTTGAGGCGTGTTGACATGTACCTCGAATACGACCTCTGTATGAAATTCCACCCACCTGCTCATAGGAGGACATAAATCGGTGGCGTGGCTTGACCCCATCCTCTATCTCGGGGTACTCGATCTGGAAGAGATGGGGCACGGGAGCGACAAGGGAGAGGCAGGGGGACAACGGGAAAGGAAGAAAAAGGCACAGTGGTTCTTATTTAGCCCGTCTTCTATGTCGGGATAGTGGATCTGAGTCAATGCGGCAGGGGAGGAGCAGGGAAGGGAAGGGAGGAGCGGGGGGAAGAAGCGGGAGGGAAGGAAAGGGAGGAGCCGGGGGAAGAAGCGGGAGGGAAGGAAAGGGAGGAGCGGGGGGAAGAAGCAGGAGCGAAGGTAGTGAAGGAATGGGTGGGAGGGCAGGTGGGGAGGGAGGGCAACCGGAAAAAAAAAAGGTACCGACTAAAAGGACTGGAAGATGAAAGAAAAAGGAATGATAGCAGACAGGAAGAGAGAGAGAGAAGAGAGAGAGAGCATGAGCCTCTCCTCAGCTATATAAGGCCCTCCCTCTCCTCATTCTCCTTGTTTAGTTTCCATTCATTCTCTTTTTCTCCCTGTTTTCGCTCGCGAGAAAGAGAGAGAGCGAGAGAGAGAGAGAGAGAGCATGAGCCTCTCCTCAGCTATATAAGGCCCTCCCTCTCCTCATTCTCCTTGTTTAGTTTCCATTCATTCTCTTTTTCTCCCTGTTTTCGCTCGCGAGAAAGAGAGAGAGCGAGAGAGAGAGAGAGAGAGCATGAGCCTCTCCTCAGCTATATAAGGCCCTCCCTCTCCTCATTCTCCTTGTTTAGTTTCCATTCATTCTCTTTTTCTCCCTGTTTTCGCTCGCGAGAAAGAGAGAGAGCGAGAGAGAGAGAGAGAGAGCATGAGCCTCTCCTCAGCTATATAAGGCCCTCCCTCTCCTCATTCTCCTTGTTTAGTTTCCATTCATTCTCTTTTTCTCCCTGTTTTCGGCTCGCGCCGGCGGCCTTCGGCCGCCGTCGCTCGCGGCGCGGCCTCCGGCCGCGCAGTTCGGGGATGGCAAGCAACTACAAAACCATATAGGACTCAGCGGGAGTATACAACATTGGCCACCAAGGCCCCTATAGGGCATACTGAAGCAAGCATGGAGAACCTGATCCGCCGTGCGGGGGCGCTCAGACTGCAGGACTCACCGCCCCGCCGCACCTACTCCCGCCGCCCTGCTATTCCGCGACAGCAGCCAGCCCGGCCTCCTCCAGCAACGCGGCCTGGTACGACATCAGGACCTGCAGCGTGGACACGGCGCCAGCTACAAGCCCTGCAGCTGACGCCGAGTCTATGCTCGCCGACACCTGGCGGAGCGCGGCGAGAAGGAGAGGGTCCGTGCCAGTTCCCCGGGAGGGCCCGGGCCGCGCGCGCGCAGCCTCCACAGCGAGATCTATGGCTGCTTCCATGCAGCCCTGAAGGGGGAAGTACGGGGCCATTGACAGGCCCCCTGAGTTCCCCAGCACGGAGCTCGCCGCCGCCAGAATCGTCAGCAATATCTCGGTCCCCCTCCGAGCGTGCCCAAGACGACGAAGCGTGGCGGCTGGGACCGCTATCACCGCGGGAGCCACCGCCCCCAGCCCCACCGTCGGCGTGCTCCTTCGCGCCGCCACCCCGGCCCCCCGGGCTCGACGGGGAGATCCCTCGCCTGGGGACTCCGTGCCCCCCGTCTCCGCTGCTTCTGCCCCCGCCTCTACACCCTGTGGGGATGGCGCACGCCGCCGTGGGGGAACGAACTGACCGACCACGCCCCCTCCGCGGTAGAGCCCAACCTGGGGTTCGGCCCACTCCGCAGACCCAGCCCATGACGAGGGGGGATGCCACTCCGGGAGCGTATCAGCGGATGATACGGGGCCGCCCATCTGGGGCGCTGGCAGGGACCCGCGATGCGGGTCGTAGTACCCCGGGGGGGAGAGGACCGACACGTACGGGGGCGGCAGGTGCGCGGCAGGGCGCAGGGCAGGATACGGGCCCCCAGGCGGTAATGGCTGCAGCATCGGAGCAGGTGCGGAGAGGAGAGGAGCCGCCAGAGGAGGCGGCGGGAAATGCAGGCTCGTTTGCTCATCCCCGCGCGCCACCACAGGACGAGGTTGCACATGCTGCAACTGAGGGGGACACGCTCCAACAGGAGCCGGCTGGTCGGGGAGGGGCGGAGGAAGGACTTGAGGCGGCAATAGAGGCTGCGACTGGAGGGGGAGCCGTCGGGGAGGGTCCTGCTGGGGGGGCGAAGGGAGCAGCCCAGCGCCAGCCCGCTCGAGGATGCCCTCCAGCGTCGCGGCAGTACGCGCCAGCCGCCTCTCCAGTGCGCTTCCCCTTCGCCCCCGACGCGGACCAGCTCGCCCCGAGGGGCCGTTCGGCGCACGTTGCTGTTGCGGATGGGGACGAGACGGCAGCACAGGGGGGGGGCGGGGGCTCGCCGCGCGGGATAGTGCAGGCGGCGACAACCCAGCAGGGGGACACTCGCGGATCTCTGCACCAGCCACCACCGCTCGCCCCTCCAGCCGAAGCGGCGTCGCCGCCCGCATCCGACTGGGGGACGCTGGCGCGCTCGTGGACGGCACTGGGAGCCCGCGCGCCCACCGCTGGTCCGACAGGGGGGGGGAGCTCGACCGACCTCGGGGGGGACGGTTTCCCCCGAACTCTCACGGTCAACGGAGCGCTCCCTCCGAACGCGACCGGCTAGGTCGGCCATCCGATTCGCCGATGACCCCCAGAGCTGGCACGGCGAGGCAGCGGGGCGAACGCCCGCCTACCCCACGCTCCACAGCGCGGGGCAGTGTCGCGCAGAGAGGACGCGGCGGCAGAGGGCGCGGCCGCTCGCCTGGTCCGATGGCTGGTGGAGGCCCCCTGAATGGCTTCCACAGGGCTGTGAGAAGGGCTTTAAGAGGAAATTCAGCGGAGGATACGACTGCTGCGGAGGAGCGTGCGGATGCCACTTATAGGCAGGAGGCGAGGGACGAGACTAGCACAGAGGATTCAGCTGGAGAGGACGACGATCCCGACATACCTGAACGAAGGCAAAGGCGGGCGGGGCGGATTCAGAGGGAGCAGCAGGCGCCGCTTCGACGGAATCAAGGGGCCAACGAGGCACAACCCTGCCAACCCTCGCGCCAATTTTCGCCAGAAGATCTGGCGAATAACGAACCCCTTTTCACGGGGATCGCAAATTGGGACACGGGACTGCTTTGCGACAGTCGCCAGCCCCCCCTTTCCCGTCGAATCCCCCAGAAATTACGCCAGCTTTTCGCTCTGGCGCTCCTGACACCCCTGCTCCACATCGCCAAACACCCATCCAGCCTCGCAGGCTGGCGCCTGTTACTTTTCACACCCAGACTCACCCTTCGCCTCAATTCGCCACGTCACCCGGATTGGCCAGCAGTCGAGCGACGACTGCAGCTGTTCCTGGCCGGCGAATGGGAACTACTTTACCTGGCTGCTGTCGATGCGATAACCAACCCACCGCTGCCACGACACTCTGGAGACGCCCTTGGCAAAATTTCTCGCGCCGAGGGCCTCGTCCGTCGAGGCAGCCTCAGACGTGCCCTACTGGCGTTGGACTCAACGCCGGTCAGCGAGTCAACGCCAGAGGTCCTCGCTGTGCTGACCTCCAAGCATCCCCCCCCTCTGACCGAGTCCCTTGACTGGCCCGCCCTCGACGACTCAGAGCCTCCCACCTCCATCTCGCAGGCTGATTTCGTACGGTTACTTTGCCGCAGCGAAAATGGTGTCGGTGCAGGGCCGTCGGGAATGTGTTTTGAACATCTCCGCGACGCAGCCCTCGCGAACGCCTCCGTCGCCCTCAATCTCCACGCAGTAGCACAGCTCCTCCTAAAAGGGACTGCCACACCAGAAGTCGCGGAGCTCCTCACAGCCAGCCGCCTGCTGGCGTTTCCGAAGCCGGAGGGAGGCACGCGCCCAATCGCAGTAGGCGAGTGCCTCCACCGCCTGGTGGCAAAAGCGGGCCTCGCTGCCATGAACGAGCCCGCCCAAAGCCACCTCCTCCCACTGCAATTCGGCGTGGCAGTGAAAGCCGGAGGCGAAGCGATAATCCATGGCGCAAGGGCTTTCGCCACGGAATTCCCGTCCGCCCTCCTGCTCCAGGTCGACCTATCTAACGCTTTCAACAGCGTCGACCGTGGGGCCATCATAACGGGACTCTACAACTCCCCTCTTCGCCCCCTACTCCCCTTCGTGCGCCTATCCTATGGCGCCCCCTCGACCCTCTTCCTGGACGCCGGCTTCAACAGCCCGCCCCTCCTCAGCGCTCGTGGCGTCCGGCAAGGGGATCCCATGGGACCCCTTCTCTTCGCCGCCGCCATGCACCCCGCCCTGCGAGAGACCGCCCAGGCGTACCCCAGCGTCCTCTGCCTGGCGTACGCCGATGACATAACCCTGATGGGAGAGCCAGCGGCATGCACCGCCGCCTTCGCCCATCTCACCCACGCGCTGCTCCCACTAGGCCTGACCCATAATCCGGCTAAGTGCGCGGCATGGTCCGCGGCCCCTCCCCCCCCCGACCTCCTCCCCCCGGGAATCCCCTTCTGCGCCTCCGGGTTGCGGATCTTGGGCAGCCATATCGGCCCACCAGACGCAGCGGCCAGTTTCCTGCGCGAACAGCTGGCCGCGATGGCCAAGCCTCTCCCCACCTTAGCGGCCATGGACCCCCAGTCCGCCAGCCTCCTCCTCCACCGCTGCGTCTCTCGTCGAGTCTCCTACCTGACCCGCACGACGCCGCTAAATCTGCTGCCAGCAGAGGAGTGGTCCCAGTGGGGACAACAACTCTACCACACCCTCCTGAGGGCGTGCAACCTCCAGCCCCCGCGCGGGGATCATGAGATGGCGCGCACGTGGCAGCAGGCCTCCCTCCCCCCCTCCCTCGGTGGGCTCGGGCTGACAGACCCCGCAGTCGAGGGGCCACACGCCCTCCTTACCAGCGTAGCCCACGCCCAGCGGCTCCTGGCCTCCCTCGCCAAGGACCCTTCCAGCCCCCTCGGGGCAGTGGCCCGCTCCCTCACACCACCCTACGCCAGCCCCACCCCCCTCCACTCCTGGCTAGCCGAATGCGAAGCGGCGCTGCCAGCTCCCGCCCGGGAGCTACTACGAGCCGAGCTCACGGAACCGTCAGACGCCCCGCTCCAGCACCGCATCGCCCTGGAAGTCCATGCAGCACGGTTCGCCGAGCAGCTGGAGGCGACCAGGACAATGGAGCTCAACCCCCTCAGCGGTCACACTCAGCGGCTCCTCTCCCTCACGGGGTATGGGGCAGGGGACTGGCTCCTAGCAATCCCCCTCTTCCCCTCCCTCAGGCTGGCACCCCCTCACTTCGCCATAGCCCTCGCCTTCCGCCTGGGCCTCCCCTTCCCCACACCACGAGTTTGCAACTGCGCCAAGAAGGTCCAGATCCCGGACCCACGGCTCCCCAACCACCTGTTCCGTTGTGGGACAGGGCACGGGCGCACCGATACCCACAACGCCCTCAGGGATGAATGCATCCGTATGGGCCAGGACGCGCAGCTCATCGTCTCGAAAGAGACGGCCCTCTACAACCCGGTCGATGGCAAAACCGCCGACCTAGCCGTCCGGGACCGGGACTCGGGAGCAGTCTGGATCTGCGACGTCACTGTTACAGACCCAGTCAGCTCCAGGGACCCCCTCGCCCGCAAGGGGCGCGGTTACATGGCAAGGGAGCAGGCGGACAAGAAGACCGACATGTACCGCCACAGGGCAGAATACGTAGGCTTCTTCCCGCTGGCCGTTGAGACATACGGCTGCCCCTGCGCGGAAGTGCCGGCCTTCCTCAAACTCCTGGCACACACGGCCGCCCGGCGCCTTTTCAATGCCGACCCCTCCTCGTACCAGGCGGCGAAACTACTTAGCCAGTTTCGCCAGCGCTGGTCCGTCACCCTCCAAAGAGGACAGGCACTGGCCTACCTGGGGAAAGTGAACGAGGCGTCACCGCTAGAGTGGCCCCCCTTGGGAGGGCCTGAAGCGGGCATGTCCCTCGGGGACTGCTTCGCCGTGATAGAACCTTAGAAAAAGGGGGGGGGGGGGGGGGGGGGTTGGTAGGGCCGGGTGCTGGCCTTTCCCACCGGCGGCTCTAGCCTACGCCTGCTCCACTTGCCTAGCATGTACCCAGGATTCCCAGCAACAAAGGACCATTCGAGAGAAGAGAACGAAAGATGGTCGTAGGTTGGTGGTTCTCTCTGTGCTTTGCTGCCCTGCGCCGTATAAATGGTGAACGCTCTGTACCCAGGATTCGTCAAATCTTGAGACTGAACGCTTGAGACTGAACGCTTGAGACTGAACGCTCTGTACCCAAAATTTATCAAACGCTTGAGACTGAGACAAAGAGAGAAAAAAAAGAAGAAGAAGAAAAAAAGAGGCACACACCTGGAAAAGTAGAGACCGCTGGTGCGTCTCGGGATCAAACTGCTTGGTTACACGGTAACCAGGTCGACCAATCTTCACTGCAAGCAAGACACACATGGCATGGCATGGCAGGGAAGGGAAGGGTAGGGTAGACGTTTGATATAAATACACGGGATCGAACTGGTTGGTTACACAGTAACCTAGTTTTGAGGCGCCTCAAAACTAAATACACGGGATCGAACTGCTTGGTTACACAGGAACCTGGCTGGCTGCAAGATACACCTGGCACGGCACGGCGTGATATGGTGCAGCATGATAGTTTTGAGGCGCCTCAAAACACGGCGTGATATGGTGCAGCATGATAGTGGTGCAGCATGATAGTGGTGCAGAATGATAGTGGTGCAGCATGATAGTGGTGCAGCATGAGGCGCCTCAAAACACGGCGTGATATGGTGCAGCATGGATGAGTGACAAGGGATGATGAAGCGGCATGGTCAGTTTTGAGGCGCCTCAAAATTAGACTCCTGTCACATGGATGAATGAGAGGCGATGAAGCGGCATGGTCAGGATGCATGTCACTCAACAGCACGTGACATGTCTTGGCAAAAGTGCTTGCAATCACCTGCCTTCCATCCCCCCCTCACCTGTCTTCCATCCCCCCCCTCACCTGTCTTCCATCCCCCCCCTCACCTGCCTTCCATCCCCCCCCTCACTTGTCTTCCATCCCCCCCCTCACCTGCCTTCCATCCCCCCCCTCACCTGTCTTCCATCCCCCCCCTCACCTGCCTTCCATCCCCCCCCTCACCAGTCTTCCATCCCCCCTCACCAGTCTTCCATCCCCCCCTCACCTGTCTTCCATCCCCCCCCTCACCTGCCTTCCATCCCCCCTCACCAGTCTTCCATCCCCCCTCACCAGTCTTCCATCCCCCCCCTCACCTGTCTTCCATCCCCCCCTCACCTGCCTTCCATCCCCCCCCTCACCTGTCTTCCATCCCCCCCTCACCTGCCTTCCATCCCCCCCTCACCTGTCTTCCATCCCCCCTCTCACCTGCCTTCCATCCCCCCCTCACCAGTCTTCCATCCCCCCTCACCAGTCTTCCATCCCCCCCTCACCTGTCTTCCATCCCCCCCCTCACCTGCCTTCCATCCCCCCCTCACCAGTCTTCCATCCCCCCTCACCAGTCTTCCATCCCCCCCTCACCTGTCTTCCATCCCCCCCCTCACCTGCCTTCCATCCCCCCCTCACCTGTCTTCCATCCCCCCCCTCACCAGTCTTCCATCCCCCCCCTCACCAGTCTTCCATCCCCCCCTCACCTGTCTTCCATCCCCCCTCACCTGTCTTCCATCCCCCCCCTCACCAGTCTTCCATCCCCCCCCTCACCTGTCTTCCATCCCCCCCCTCACCTGTCTTCCGGGGGTTCACTCGCGGTCGGGCTGGCCGGGACAAAGCAGGTGCATCCTGCGCCTCCTTAGCTGAGCGCCTGTAACACCAACCCACTCTCTCACCTGTCTTTCTACAATTCACATTCACCTGTCTTCCGGGGGTTGACCCTGGCCCGCGCCGGTTGGGGCAAAGCAGGCGCCTCCTGCGCCTCCTTGGCTGCGCGCTTGGCCAGATTCTGCTGGTGGCGCAAACCTCTCTTCCTGAGGTGTTCGCTCTTCCTCCGGCCTTGACAGACGCGAGCAAACCTCTCTTTCCGGGGTGCTCTCTCGCCTGTCTTTCTGCAATTCACACTCACCTGTCTTCCGGGGGTTGACCCTGGGCCGAGCTGGCTGTGGCAAAGCAGGCGCGTCCTGCGCCTCCTTGGCTGCGCGCTTGGCCAGGTTCTGCTGGTGGCGCTTGCCCTGCGTGTGCGCGAGATAGTTGCCCTCGTTGTTGTGGAGCGTCAGACAGAGCTTGCACTCGTAACTGTGGAAAAACGAGGGGAGAGATTGGAGGGTTGGGGAAGATGGGGGCAAAAGTAGGGAAGGGTGAAAAGGCTTGCCCTGCGTGTGACTTTTGAGTCGACTCAAAAGTCACGAAGGGTTAAAAAGGCTTGCCCTGCGTGTGCGCCAGGTAGTTGCCCTCGTTGTTGTGCAATGTAGGGCACAGCATGCACTCATAGCTACAGGGTGGGGGGGGGGGGGGGGGGGGGAGCGGAGGCAGACAGGAAGGACAGGGGTGGGGGGGTGGGGGGGGCAACGCTGGTTAGAGCGGAGCGTTCTTCCTTTCACAGGCTAGCCTCTAGCCTCTAGCCTCTAGCCTCTAGCCTCTAGCCTCTAGTCTCTAGCCTCTAGCCTCTAGCCTCTAGCCTCTAGGCGTCATGCGCACCAACCGCTTTCCCTCAGCTCGCTCATTCCCACACTTTCTCGCAACCGACGAACCTGCCGAGGTGGTTGCGCATGAAGTAGGGCTCCTTGGCAAGGTCAATCGTTTCCAGCGCCAGCCGTCGCAGACGCTCCCGCCGGTCGATCGCCTCGCTCTGGGCCGAGGCGCGGAGGCCTAGGACACCTCTGCCGTTCCAGTTGAAACTCTCTTGAGTTGACTCACAAGCAGCTTCCGCCGGTCGATCGCCTCGCACCGCGCCGACAGACTTGCTTGTGCCTTCCAGTAACAACGCTTTTATTCTAGTTTTGAGGCGCCTCAAAACTAGACTCCTATCCCGCGCCCACAGACTTGCTTGTGCCTTCCAGTAACAACGCTTTTATTCTCACGTGCTAACCTTCCAAGATGGTTTCGCATGAAATAAGGGACTTTCGCGAGGTCGATCGTTTCCAGCGCCAGCCGCCGCAGCCGCTCCCGCCTGTCGATCGCCTCGCTCTGGGCCGACAGACTTTCGTTTGACTTTCTAGTGACGAAACTTTTAGCCCACGTACCTCCCAAGGTGGTTGCGCATGAAATAAGGGTCTTTCGCGAGATCGATCGTTTCGAGCGCCAGTCGTCGCAGCCGCTCCCGCCGGTCGATCGCCTCGCAGTGCGCCGACAGACCTGCGTTTGACTTTCTAGTGACGAGACTTGTAGCCAACATACCTGCCGAGGTGGTTGCGCATGAAGTAGGGGTCTTTCGCGAGGTCAATCGTTTCCAGCGCCAGTCGTCGCAGCCGCTCCCGCCGGTCGATCGCCTCGCTCTGCGCCGAGGCCGCGCCGCCGCTGCCGGGCTTGCTCCCCCATTCGCGATCCATGCTGGGCTAATCTGCGAGAAAAGCGAGCTTGCTCCGCTTGGACTAACTCCTGACGAACAGTTACTCGCTAAGTAGTTCCTCGCAACTAGCGAGCTGGTTCCGCTTGGACTAACTAGTTTTCGGAGAACGGGATTCTATTGGACGACTGATCTCCTGGACTAGTCTGTGAGGAAAAACTGACTTGGGAACTGTTTGATATCTCGCGAGCTGGCGAGCTGGTTCCACTTGGACTAACGTCTGGCGAAATACTTGCTCGCGACGTATTTCCTCGCAAAATAGTTCTGCAGAATAGTTTCCAGCGACCCAGTTTCTCGCTCCTAGTTTCTGGCGTCGCAGCGGTAAGATCGGTAGTCTCAAGGGCCAAGGAAGACGTGAGCGCACAAGGGACTGGCTGCTATAGATGTGAATGGGGGGGAAAATGAAAATAGAATGAAGTAGCGAGAGAAGTATTGTAAGGAAGACAGGAAAAAGTATTGTAAAAGGCCGACTCTTTACCCCACTCAACCGCACGGTAGCCCGCTATGCCATTTTTAACACAACATACGAGAGTATTTGGTTCCCCAATCTCTGCAGTCTATTCAAATGCCAGTTCTTTGCATTTTTCATGGCATGGTAAAATTTCTCAAGGTGCAGTGATTCTTTGCTGACAGGACTTAGTGATGGACCAAACCTTTCACCCAAAAAAGAACCACTAAAAGCAATTCCATATACACAAAACTAAAAAGATGAAACATCTCTTACCCACTGAACTGCATTCACAACAGGTCTCACTGCACTTGCTCACAATAGGCTCCTATTACCCCTAGACACGCGTACCAAACTGTCACTCTGTGATGTCTTAAACTGACACACGTAGCAAGGAATAGCCCCAATGATGTCCCCTGTGGGGGTGAACGATCCTCCCTTCTTCCTCTCAGCCCAACACTCTCAAGCAACCTAGAAAGGAGTAGACCCAATGATGTTCCCCTGGGGCGAGTAATCACACACCCACATGCCGCCACCATCTGGGCACTGTGCCGACGCGCACCCCACATGCGTCGTCCCCGCCCACACCACCTGCGTGTAATGCCCACACATCCTCCCCTCCGCACACCCCTCGGGTACCGGGCTGTACGTCCAGTCAGCCTTCTCATCCACCCACGACTGCACCGCCATGCGGTCCTCCTCTGGGGTTAACCCTGCCGGTGCGCGCCAGTAGAGGTTCTGCCCGAGCCCATCTGTTCCGCCGTGCTCCAAGGGGCACCCCCTGGAGGCGAGGTCGTTGGCCCAGTCTTGCGCCGCTGCCGCCACGCCGTCGTCCCATGCCAGGTCGGGGACGCCTACCTCCCGCCGGGCGGCGTTGTGCATGTCGAGAATCGATGCAATGTCAATGCCGCCGCTGCCGCTGCCGCTGTCACTGCCACCGCTGCCATTATTGCTATAGTCACCACCACTGCCATTATCACCATTGTAGTCACCCCCGCTGTAGTCACCACCGCTGCCATTATCGCTATAGTCAGCACCACTGCCGCCATCATTGTAGTCACCACCGTTACCACCACCATAGTCACCACCACAATCTGCATCGGCCTGTGCAGATGCAAGGGAAACAAGTCGCGATGGTTGAGCCCCGCGGTTCACTCCACGGTTCACTCCACGGTTCACTCCGTGCCTGCTGCTCCTATCAGCGCCGCCATTCCTCCTGTGCAGGACCACGTCGCTGCTCGTTGCCTTGTGAAACTCGAAGTCTTGGTTGTTGAAGTTAGAAGTCTCGCGAGCTGACACCCTCATGGCGCCCGCCCTGCCGTTTTCAACGCCGTTCTGCTTCCTGCCGTTCTGATCTGATTTCAGCAGCGGCGCGGGCATGTGAGTAATCTTCACATCCTCGGCCGATGCCTTGTGAAAACCTGAGCCGCGGCGTTCGTTCGACTTGGGCTTGTCGCTTGACGCCATCTCAGCGCCGCCGGCGTGATTCGCCGATTGCGGGTGCCGAATCGCCACATCCGCCGCTGATGACGAATGGAAACCCTTGCCGCGTCCGTTTACGTTGGTGTTGCCGGGATGGGATGACGCCATGGCTGCAGCTCCGCGATTCGCCGAGTTTCTGAGCCGAGTCATCGCCACATCCTTGGCCGATGACTTGTGAATTCCCGTGCGGTGCTGGCTCTTCTTGGGTCTGTCGGATGGCTCCATTGCTGCGGCGCCATGATTCTGATTCCTGTGCTGAATCGTCACGTCCGTAGCTGATGCCTTGTGAATTCCCGCGCGGTGCTGGCTCGTCTTGGGATTGCCGGATGGCGCCATTGCGGGTGCAGCGCCATGCGTTGCCGAGTTCCTGTGCCGAATGACCACATCCACCGCTGATGCCTTGTGAATCCCCGCGTGCTGCAGGCTCGCTTTGGGATTGCCGGCGGATGACGCCATCCCCTCGGCGCCATGATTGACCGAATTCCTGTGCGGAATCGCCACATCCGCCGCTGATGCCTTGTGGAATTCCGCGCCCTGGTTGCTCGTGTTGGGCTGGCTGTTTGACGACTCCAACGCAAACGAGCCGTTCGCGTTCGTGTTATTTGCCGCCATAGCAGACGTGCCGTTCATGCCGCTCGTTCCGCTCGTTACGTTCGTCGTGCAATTCGTGCCGTTTGGCGCCACTGTAAACGGCGCGGTGCCGTTCGTGCTGTTTGCCGCCATTGTAGTCAACGTGCCGCTCGTGTTGTTCGTGCCGCTCGTGCTGTTCGTGCCGCTCGTGCTGTTCGTGCCGCTCGTGCTGTTCGTGCCGCTCGTGCTGTTCGTGCCGCTCGTGCTGTTCGTGCCGTTCGTGCTGTTCGTGCCGCTCGTGCTGTTCGTGCCCGTCGTGCTGTTCGTGCCACTCGCGTTGTGTGGCGCCATTGCAGCAGTAAGAATGCCGCTCGTGCTCGTGCTGTGACTCGCCACGTTCCCAGCCGATGCTGCCTTGTGAAATCCCCTCGCAGCGCCATTCCCGTAACGGCCGCCGCCCTGCTTGCCACCGCTCCCGGGGTGCTGATTTTCTGCGCGCCAGTTGACCCCGTGCGCGCCCTTTCCAGCTGCGCCCTTACGTTCTGCACCCTTGCGCCCTTGAGCGCTTCCGCCCTTTTTTGCGACTGTGTGATTTGCGCCCTCGCCACGAGCTGCACCCTTCCCAGATGCTTTGCCGCCAGGACCAGCGGGATGGGGCGGCGTGGCCGGACCAGCGGGATGGGGCGAATCAGTGGGATGCGCTGGCTTGGCCGCGTGAGCAGCGTCGATTTTCTGAAGAGTCTTCGGACTGGGGATGACACGATGGGCGTCATGGTTCACCATCGGACGATGCGTCGAAGGAGCACTGTTATGCTTGGAAGGATGCGGCGGGAGCGATTCAGACAATCCTTTGTCCTCTATGGGCGCCTTCGACGCGTTCTGAGCGTCCCTGGAAGCATTATTACCACTCGTGATGATTGCTGATGCAAGGTGAGCAGAGGACGAGCCAATCAGCAGAACGAGAATCATGAGTGGTGCCGCCGTGACCCGCGGTATCTCCATGTCGCCCATCCAACGTGAAGATAGCGTTAGCTTGTTGCGCGGCGAAGGGAAGTCCACGCTATACACTGGTCTTATTAGTAATACCCTTCGACTACTAAAGCTACCAGTAGTAGTGGCAGCTGACAGTAGGGAGTTCTGAAAAAATCAGAGTAGGGTGCGTGGGTTTGGCTGGAGTGGAGGAAAGAGGTTTTGATTTGCTCGATATGGTTTGAGAAATCCCTGCCTCCAACTTTATAATTCCACATCTGAGGTCCACGATTCGGCTCTTGCCATTGCGGTGCGAGGAGAAAATTGCGACAGACGGCGAACTGAGGTTACGGACTTCGATTACCGTGAGCGAGACGTGATAGGCGACGGCGACGAAAGGCGAAGCATGGAGTGAACCAGACGGGGGGTGAGTGAGGCTGGACGGCGTTGGCGCGACGAATCCAACCTTTCCCGAAGTCAACCAGAGTCCGAGCACACCTAATATGTCAGCTCAATTTCGTTGCCAGTTGCGAAAAGGTGGTCGAACCATGCGATGTGCTGTTTGTGTTACCACAGCTCGGAAAGTCGGGAGTCCAAACCGCGTCAGAAGCCCACACATGTGTTTGGCTATTGTTTTCTCCTACAAATTATACCAAGCGCGTACAGAAGCAAAGTATTTTTTGGTGGAGCATTTTTGGGTTGCGTAGCAACCCTATAAAATCGGTTTCACATTTCGGAGCATTGATACGAACAGTAAAAATTTTAAGAATTTAGTTAACTGTTCGGTGCAACTCCAAAATATGAATCCAAATGTCCAAAGTGCTCCATCGCGTCGATAAGTACGGCGGATGGAACAATCAGACCGCATGACACATTTCAACAAAAATTTATGTATAATTAAACATACTGTAGGATTGCAAATGCCAAGAAACGAGTGCATGTAGGCATTAGTAGTGTTGCAGTAGAGATTGATGGGGTGCACGATGACAGCGGAGCTGCCCCGGACACGATGACAATCTCTAATTGCAACACCTAGCCTATAAGTAGCACGCTCGAGGCAAACACAATCCAAATACACCTCGTGCTAGCCACCCGATCTCGTCGTTAAATATGGTGGCCGGAATGAACATGTACCTATGTACGATAGGATTGTGAGTGCTACGAAACGATTGCATATATGCGTCAATGTTGCAACAGAGATTGATGGGGTGCGCGATGACAACAGAGTTGCCCCAGGCACGATGACAACCTCTAATTGCAACACCTTGCATATAAGCAGCACGTCCGAAGCAGACACAATCCATGCCGTATCACATTTGCAGCCACACGCACTATGCACATAGAGACTAAGAGCAGCAGACACACCTCGACACATACAGTATTTTATCAAACCCATGCACACCCCTCTCATGCAAACAACAATCAAGCAGACACATGCAGCATCGCAAATAGCCTAGTAGTTGGAGTCCCCTATATCCAAATTAGAGAACAGTGGTAACGCCGTGCAATCACAAATTTGTCCCCGCAAGATGTTCCAACAAGCAATAGAAATTGATGTTGGAAGATGTTCTTTGTCTTGCGTCTGGAACAGACAGCGCGTGCTACATGACCTGCACAGTACACCAATGAATCATAGAAACACAACATACGTTCAAAAGTATACCACATGATTTGTTTGTATGCACTGATGGTGTTAGATATTGCGTTTGGGGTTTAAAGTTTAGTGCAGAATATGGGATGAAACTAAGAAGTAAAACAAACAAGAGAGCAGACAAAATCGACGCTGACCACATTGATTTCTTAAGACAGTAAATAAGTATTCTTACATGACCATTACGGGGCTGAATGAGTTTGGATGGAGTTGTTGGAATGATAGGTGGCTTGTCCTCTGCAGGGCGCTTCTTGTTGTCGTTTTTAGTTGATACATCCTCCTTCTGTTGCAACAAATAAAACAGGGTTTGCACAGGTTTGGCTTCTCGTCCTCATTCATGAACAGGGTACGTATTATCCATGCTGGCATGCGTAATTGTAAGGGCAGCTGTAGAATATAACAAGTTTGGAATTCATACCTTTACAGTCGAGGAAACAAAAGCTAGTGAATTGATAGTCCTCTGAAAGCCATCTCCTGCTGCCTTTGTTTCCATCTACAATAAGATCATAATCAAGAAAGTTAGACGGAAAGAAAATATAAGGGTTAACTCACCAAAGTGCAAGATGTACAACCGCTAAGCACATTTGAACAAAGCTGATGATGCTGTGCTCGCACCAGGATAAGCCAACGATTCCCAACCAAGGTTGACAACATTGATTTCTTTGCATCCAGTCCCGCCTGTGTCCATGCTGCGATGCTGAAACCGTCCAGCCCGTCCTTGAGAGCGCTCATGCTTATAGTAGCATGTACACCTGTGCGTGTGAACTTGCCATCTTTCATACGGATTGATAATCATGGGGAAATATAATTAATAAACGAAGGAGAATAGGAAAACAAACAAATGATCAAACAACAAATAAACTAGGAGCATATTTTGATAGCTTAAAGAGAAATCCTTAGCGAATATGAACATGAACCATACTATATAAAATGCACAATACCTGTAATAGAATGGTATGGGTTTGAAATTGTAACAAACCACAAACAACACCTGTTGGCGGGTTGAAGACAACGACGATGTTGTCGCGCTCGACGGCACTCTCTGATACATGACCCAAGTCACAAAGATAACCATCATTGGAGCAGCACCACCCAACAGGAAAGCCGCACACGTCACTGCTCTCGCACGATGACTTGTACGAGCAGAACCATGCCGTGTTGATACAGGTAGAGGTTACGTCCACATTCATTGTGCACGTATTAGCTCGTCCTAATGCTCGGACATTGTTCTCCACTGCTCGCAAACTGAACACGGGATTGTTGTAAAAAATGATACACACATACATATTAATTGCATGGACGTTTTATAAATGTAGAAGCATGTTGTTTAGAACACCACACAAGTAGAGTATAGCGATAATGTAAATGTGAAATGCACTTAAACAAGAACAAAAACAAACGTACGACGTGACGAGACCGAGGTTAGCGCAATCAAAAGTATCACGCGTCAGACTCTGCTTGATGCGGGCGACAACGACCTTATCCGTAACCTTCATAATCCTGGATCTGAATAAGGGGCGATAAAGAAGTGTATAATAAAGAATAAAAGTTGGTGAATAAGAAATGATACGACGGTTATATTGATACGCATATCAATGCGGATAGGAGGAATAGGAGAATTACGAGAACCACCTAGAAGAAGTTGACTCACTCTAAGTACGAGTAGAAGAACAATGCAATCTACGTCAGACTACACGCAGACGAACGCTAAGTGTACGTCTAGCAATAGGTGTAACGAGAGAATAATAGTCGATAAAAAATGGTGCACCTCTTCGTAGTTTTGATTTGGCCGTCCTCCTGGTACATCTCTGTAATCCATACAATCACAGGGGTTTTTGTCAGCTCGGTGTTATGCCGCTGCTCTTCCACTATCATCTGAATGCGGTCTGCCATGGAGCCTAATGCAGTTAGGCCGAACGTGCCACTCCTATCACGTAGGATACCCACGACACACGACATCTTGCTGTAAGGATCCACGTCAGAGATGGTTAGCTCCACAATGAACGAGGAAACCTGTTAGTAAAAAAAAAAAAAAAAAAAAGGAAAACAGGAATGATGGAACTTGTGGTGAATACGTGTAAGAGGTTACCAAGCAATAGTAAAAGTATGATGTTGAGTGGAGAGATAAAAAATGATGGGTAGCAAAATACGTTAGATTACAACTATGACAGAATTGTCGTGGTCGGTTAGTACATAGTATAATGTGACATGGTTACTGACCTGACGGCGCGCGGAATCATCAGAGGAGAAGAGTTCACGCAAGGGAGTAGGAGTGAATGCACTCAAAGGAATGTTGTGGTCCTCAATTGACATGCGTGCATGCGATTTTCTGTGCTCCCAAACAAGCACACCACCCAGCCTACCAACAGACCATCTAAACAGTACATACACATCAGAAGGATGTCAAAATGTAAAGAGTGTTGGAGCTAGTGAATATGGTGCAAAAGAATAGAATCAAATAGTGTAGCGCGCTTGGAACTTTGGCATAGTTAATGAGAAACTTGGTGACAGCGTAGTACACGATGCTATAGGCAAATAGGAATTATGGTGCAAGGTAGAAATTGGAAGGTGGCAAAAGAGAGCAAACAAGACAATGAGCATAGCTTAACAAAAGTGGACAGAATGCATCTAATCCAAATGAAGGTTGCATAAGAAGAGAAATGTAAGAGTTGGATGGGAAAAGAAGAATATAAAATGTGATACACGAGATGATGTGGGAAAGTAGTTGAGTAGATGTTGCTGTACTACACATATTCGCATATGCATGCCATGTGTAGAATGCTTACTTGGGATTCTTGGAGAGCTCGCACTTGACAGAGCATATGTCATAGGTAGCTCCCAGGATGAACTCCCCAAGCGTCTTGTAGCAGTTCTCGGCAGTCCATGGAGCAGGAGGCTTATCTTCAGGCCACATCAGCATCTCCATAACTTCACCGTCAGCGTCCATCAGGTACAGCTTCGTTGGGTAATGTTTCGGCGGGTTTGGGTTCGGGTTTGGGTTCAGTTTCGACTTATCAAGATCGGGAGGTCGAACTCCAATAACCTTGGTGCGCACTGAGAAGTTTAAGGTGGGAAGACCCTTGCGCAATATCTCCACAAGCCTGTTGAAGCTAGTAACCTTAGGCGGCTGCATAGAGTGAGACATAATAAACAAAAACACAAAAGAACGAGAAGATAAAAAAAACATACGGCAATACGAAAACGAATACCAAGTAGATTATGAAGAGCAACAACACAAACATCAAGAAAACGAAGTATTGAAGTAAGGCTAGGGATGGAAAAAAAGTGCTGGATAAGAGCAAGTAAATTAGAAAGTAAGAAAACGTAAAGAAGGGCTTTGACATTTGGAAAATATGTTTTGACATTTGAGAAGTAGATTTAGACACCTTTGAATTGGGAGCACACACTTAGAAATAGGCTTAGAACACATGGAGTAGGCTAAATAACTTGGAAAAATGGCTCAAAGACTTGGCAAACAAGCTCAACCCATTGAGAGACGGGCTATGGCACATGGGAAATGGGATCAGATACGCGGGGAATGGGTCAAACACTTGGACAATGGGCTAAAGCACATGG